GGCACAGCCTCGAAAATTCAAAAAAACTAGAATTTTATAAAACTTTTAAAGATGAATATTCTACATCTGATTATCTCTACCAGCTAAGACATTATGACGAACGACAGAATTTTGTTAAATTTAAAATAAGTAATCACAAACTTATGATTGAACATGGTCGATACCAAATCGATCATTTGCCAAGAGAAAATAGATTATGTCCTTTATGTAACTCAAATCAGGTAGAAGATGAGATTCATTTCCTCTTTCAATGTAACAAATACTCAGTACAGAGACAGGCATTTATTAATCAAATCAATCGAATAATACCTGACTTTGACAAGAAATCATCTCCGGAAAGCATAAAACTGATAATGAATTCGAAGGAACATCATGTAAATAAGTTAGTTATGAAGTTTGTCTCCTCCTGCATGAAAATACGTGATTCATTGTTAGTAATGTAACCGAATTTTTCTAGATTGTTATTAGTGCTGTTTTGTTTTTATTTTGATTGTCATATACATGCTTTTGCAATACTGTAAAGTGATGCGGTCATGCAAATAAAGCAATTTATTACTATTACTATTACTATTACAAGGTATACATAGGTATACAGGGTATACATAGGTATACAGGGTATACATAGGTATACAGGGTATACATAGGTATACAGGGTATACATGGGTATACGGGGTATACACAGGTATACATAGGTATACAGGGTATACATAGGTATACAGGGTATACATAGGTATACAGGGTATACATGGGTATACAGGGTATACATGGTATACATAGGTATACATAGGTATACAGGGTATACAGGGTATACATAGGTATACATAGGTATACAAGGTATACAGGGTATACATAGGTATACAGGGTATACATAGGTATACATAGGTATACAAGGTATACAGGGTATACATAGGTATACAGGGTATACAGGGTATACATGGGTATACAGGGTATACAGGGTATACATAGGTATACATGGTATACATAGGTATACAGGGTATACATGGGTGTACAGGGTATACAGGGTATACAGGGAGATAAACAATCTATTACTATTACATGAAGGATATATCTATTTGGCGTAAGCGTAACATGAAAGAATAACCATGGTATCGAGAAAGGTATTCGACCGATAAAACCTGGTAACGAACTGAGTCACATTCCTTGGAACATTTTCGAAGAGTTCCGAAGATTTCCGAAGGTCACCGATAGCATTGCAGCAACGGCACAACTTTCTTGTATCAGATTGTATCTTCTATAATTACTGTGGAATCCCGATTTTCCGAACCCTAGTAGAAATTGTTTCGAGAATTCGGAAAATTTAGCGCAACCTTTTGGGAAACTTTTGACTCGAAGAACTGGAAGTTTTAGAAAATACAGTTTTCAAAAGAAGCTCTTATTATATTCCACTGTAGTAGCAATGCGAAAAGAAGAAGAATGAATTCCCGGTTTATGTCCAAGGTGAATTTTTTTGTTTATTCTCTTTGCCTTGTCTGCGCGCAGAGGAGTGGGTTCGGAAAGGTTATTTTTCCCTTTTTGTGTTTGGTGCTCACTTCCAGTATCGCCGAGAACAAAAAAAAAGAGTCCTAGGATAGGGAAAATCTCCTTTAGCTTTAGACCAGTACTTGATCACTCAGTGGCAAGAGTTTCCATCATCTGCACGCTTGCAATTGCTTGAACTAGTGGCATTTCCAGCCATGTGTAATGGCTCTCCATATCCAGGAACCTATTCAGAACCGGCTCATGGCATTTTAAAGCCAGTTGAATCGTATAATCGTTGATCACCATCGCTTCCAGTTCTACGAGTTACTCAGCCTCATTTTTCCGCGCGGCCAGCACGTTTCCACCGTTTCGGGTCACATGGTCAATGCGTTTACCCGTCCAGGATAGGTCACCGAAATGCACCATGGACCATTGACCTAAATAAAAATATCAAAATGTGGTAAATCTGTGAAAATGTCGGATTTCCGGCTGCTGACTAAACTAAATAGAAAGATTTGTATATAGGAAGCTGAGGTACCTGGCCAGTACGGGACGGATGTTCACATGGCTCGTGTGAAAATTCCTATTTTAATTTACGGGTATAGAAATACATTTTATTTTACATTAAAGATATAAATTAAAGTGTCGTTGGCGAACAAAGTCAGTTCCAGGAAAAACTTCGCCACGGTTCACAGTGGCTTTTTAAAGAGAGTGGGAAACAATAGAAAATATTTAGTATAAATTAAAATTTGTACTTAATATTGTTTCTCTTTTCAACATCGAGGCAATAATTTGGTCACTATACACCCCATGGCTTTGTTGCTTCATGAACCTTAAACATGGCTTTTTAAAGTTTTACTGATGCTAACACAGAAGTAAATGTTAGCAATTCATTAGTGAGTTTACGCAACAGGACGGCACAGGAGAAGGAATTGAAGAGGACCGTAAAACGCGCATGGGTGTGACAAGCGTGACAGGGCTATTACTTACGTGTTTTGTCAGGAATTGATGGTTTTTGCTCTTCTACAAAAAGATTTGTTTAAAGGAATGTGAAGTCTGGCTGAAGGTTTTTTCAAACAAAATTATTGTCACGCTTGTCACACAAAGTATGCTGTCGTCTTTCCTCTCCCGTTCTGTTGTGTGCACTTATTTCTCAGTATGAACGTTATGTAATGGTATATTAATCGCCCAGCTAAGAAGATTGTCGTCAACTCCACGCAATTAAACCACGACTTCCGGATTTCTTACATTCTTCATTAGAAGTCAATTTTACTTCTTCTTACATTTGAATGGGTAAGATTAAGTTTACAAGTACAAGATAAGATAATCTTTGGCATGGCTTTGCTGAGTGAAGCGACCAGGTATCGACGATACGAAAGTTCACGAATGGTTACGAACGTTTCCGAATATTATCAGCAATCGGACATTTCAGCTCTGTTCGCAAGGGAGAGGTGAGAATTTTGTATGTTCGTGATCGCGTCTGTATATTGTTTTGTTTTGGTAATTTTAGAGGCTTTGTTTGGTTTTACTTGTGTAGTAGAAAGTTCGATTGAATCTTTCTAGACATTTTGCATCGCCATTCATGTGTGACTGATGATTGAACGCGTCAAAATAGAACGTTGCGTTTGTGGAGATTCGTTTGCCTTCGTTAAAATTCATAAATTGAAATCCAACTCCGTATCGACCTATCAGGTCACTTTGTATATGAGGTGCTTTTGTTAGTAAGCCGTTCTTTAGCTCGTATTGATTTTCTGCTCCTAATTCTGTGATTCCATCCGTTTGGAATTAATGCAGACTGATCAAGCGAACAATTTCTCACGGTAGCCAGATGTACCACGGATTGCTGCAACAGAAAGCTTTCATTCTTTTCTGGCATTTCAAGGATTAATCGAATTTATCGATTGGCTTTACGTTGGACCTTCGGTATTTACGGTGGCACCAGAGCTCAGTTCACCCATTTTTCGTTGGAACTGTCAACACGTTGAAGGTTTCAGCGGCTTCTGTAGCAAGCTTTGGCCTTGGTAATTATCAGATTATAACGAAATTCTGTGATATAGCTTCTCGGAGCAACTCAACATCTGTACGCGAAAGTGGCAAAGTTCGTCTTTCAAGAGCCAATTACCGCATCTCGTGTTTCTACTGGCATCTTCTTGGTTTTTTGGGTGAAGTGCATTTGCCTCCGGTTCTCATAGATACGGAAAACGCGATGTGGGATACATGTAGTTCCAGAAGCGAAAAAGATTCTGCGGTATGACATTCGCACGTCTGGACACGAAAGGATTATTTTGTAAACTTATAAAGCCAAGAGAACTTGTTGAACGTTTTAGGATGTGTTTTACGAACTGTTGTGGGGATTCTTCGATTCGAAAGTAAACTTGCGCTGCGAGGAAAACTAAAAGTGATTCAACCTCTCTCGATCGTCCCACCAACCAACCGTAGCAGTGAGCAGGGCGGCCATTTGTGTTTTATCTAAACCGGAAACGTGAATTTTCGTGATAAAATTGTGGCGGGGATGAGCAAACCATCACTTTCATCAGCAAGAAAAATTTGTCAGTTTGCTAGGCTTTTATTCGAATCAGGAACTATACTTTTATGATGGAAGAGAAAAGGTGAATGGTGAATTGCTTGAATGTGGTTTTGAATTAGCTTGTATGTTTATGATTTTTTGTATGTTGCACTTGTAGCTAGAGAATTTCGGCATTGTCTTTTGAAATCATAACAATCACGCTGTTGGGCTGGCGTGTTTTTAGAAGAAACAAACTGTGTACTCTCCTTCAATTTGAGGTTTTGTTAAATGCGTTATTATGTGATGAAGTGGCTGAATGTTGTGATCGTCTGTTCATTTGTTGAAATTGAAAATTAATTATTTGTAGTTGATCAACTATGGTTTGCTACGAAATTGCCAGAGAATGTGCTTTTTTAAAAAGCGAGGGAAGCCTTTTGAGATCTCAAGATAAATTGATGTAGATACAACAAAGGTATTTGATGGAAAAGATTGAAGAATTTTCAATGGCAAATTTAAAGGTTTTTCTTGTCGTTAGCATATCTCCAACAACTAAATTGACAATTTCTCTTTGTAATAACGCCTTAATTAATTTACCAATCCTTCACTTTTAATTTCGGAATTTCATAATCACAAAAGAGGGCTGTTTAAATCTTCATTCCATTCAACCTTGGTCTAGCTTATGATAATTATGATTGTACATTACATCATTATAATTTTCAGGTAACAAATGTTTAAAGAACAAGAAAAATATGTTTCAGTTTATAAAGAGTTAGATTGCCCTTAATGTACATGTATATGGTTTTAAGCTTTAAAGAAAAAGTGAAGGTTTATATTTCAAAGGCTCGGTGGCTTGGTGGCTTGTCAGTCAAGGTTAGAGTCTTGGACAATGAGAAAAAGAATGAGAAGGTCATTTTACATTTTATCTCACTGATGAGCCACCGAGCCACTCAAAAGAATAGTTCTAAAGAGGCTGCCCCATATTCTGTAGTTAGGCCTAATTTTCTCTGTCATTTGTAGGGCTAAAGATGATTCCGATGCCTACAGGTACAGTTACATATACAACAGGGATGATGAAATTCGTCGAAGCACAGGTTCAATTTATGGGGCTGACAGCCCCTTAAAAATGAAACCACAACCTATGCACGTGCGGAGTAGCAGCGACACAAGTGAAATAAATGTGGTCGTGAGGAACAATTATGCAGATGGCGGGGATGCTGAACAACGTTCCCCTACTAATGAAAGTTTTTTTGCATTAATAAGGAAGTTCGAACAAAATATTCAAAATGAGGGACATATACAACCAGGTCAGAAATCCTGGTTTTACGATAATGAAGGCCAGACCATTGATGGCGTTAGAAGCAAATCAGGAGTTAGTTCAGCCTCCTCAAGCCCGCTTACTGAAAGAAGGACTCCTTTGCTTAAACGTAAAAACTCGCTTAGAAACAATGCTTACTTGTTTCGAGTTTTTAAGGGGTCTGGAGATGCGAAAGCAGGAGAGGAGGAGATTGGAGATGAGCCTTCTAGAAAATTCTTTGCGCATTATGATTGTCGTAGCGTAATGGTTGATTTTGATGAACTTGCACTGCAGTATTCCAAGCAAGGTGATGGACTCAAAAGAAAAAACAAAAGATCTGGAGCATCTGCGGCGTCAACTAAAGTTACTGCAGCAACGATCCATGATAAATTACAACGGCGAGGTTCGGACTCTAGTGTGAGCAATAATGAGGAGGAATCAGACCTTGGCGATGAGAAAAGTAATAATCTCATTCTAAGTTGCCCATATTTTCGAAATGAACTTGGCGGTGAAGAGGACCAGGACCCACAAATTGGGTTATCAAGGGGCACTGCAGCATTGCAAAATCTCCATGATCCCTCACGACCAAAAGAACCTAAATTAGACAACTTTAGAAGAAGGTCAACCCTTGATATTTTATTGACTGCATATGATTCTGCACAAGTAGGAAATCTAAGCAGTGGTACTGGAGTTACAATTCTTGATAATTCAAAACCTGAAAGTGGATTCTTGTATCTTGGAGAAAGTTTTTACAATGAAAATGGACGAGTATTTGAGCATGTGGATCATGGAGCTTATTATTACAAGAACTTTTTTGTTGGACAAGGTAGGTGAAAATAAGATATGTTTATCCTTCTTACTTCTTTTCGTAGTCAAAGGAAAAAAAATGTGAAATGCTAAAAAATAAATAGCACTGTGCAGGAGTTCTGTCAAAGAGTATTTGCATGGCAACATAGGATTTCATCCACAGATTTAGAACGTAGAGTGACAAATAAGTCTCTCCATAACATGGTCTAGAAGGGAGAGTGTTTTAAACTTACAATAATTATAACATACTATTAGCTTGTAATTAAGTTCTGGTAGACAAGGTACTTCCTCAGTCTTTTTTTCTCTCTGCCTTTTTCAGTTTTGAGCTGTTGCTATGGTAACCTCTCTTAACTAATTGTAACATTGGTTGGGAGTTTGTTTGATTCTTGAAGAAATTCATCAGGCTAGTGAAGTTAAACAGTCGATCTAAATGTTCTTAAAACATAGCCAGTCTTAACGTCTTATTGATGCTGACACTTTCAATGACTGCGAGTTTTTTGCAATAATTAACACCTTCAGAAGCCTATTTAAGGCTTCTGACACTTTTAATGTTTTTCAAGTTTTTATAAAGATGGCTGACAGTCAATAAGACGTCAAGACTGGCTATGTTTTATAAACTTTTAAATCGAATTTGTTTGATGCCGTTACTGTCTAGCAACAAAAGAGTTAAAAGTGTTGATATTAATTCATCAAAGTTTACATACATAATTATGTAAAAATTCTGTTGAATGGGTTACAGCCACCTTCTCCATGTATATGCATGTGTAGAATTTAGACTGGTCTCAGGAAGAATGCAGCGTGCAAAGAAAGTAGTGTCCAATGGCCCAGGGCTAGTGGATTTTGCTATTGGGCTAGTGAATTCTGTTTTTAACTAGTCCGACAGGCAAGTGATGTTTTTTGAGGAGTTTGAATAACAGAAGAACTGTGAAATCAATTCTGCTTGTCAAAAAGCTTTTGGGGCTAGTTGCAATGACATCTGGGCTAGTAAATACTAGCTTCAGCTTGCCTGAATGGCAAGTTGTAAAAATGATTTTCTTTACACCCTGAGAATGCTTGCAAATTGCTGTGAAAATTAACAACACTTCTTTCAAAGTCATTTTTATGTAGTACAGTCGACTCCCAATAACTCGAACCTTCAAGGGAAATCGAAAAAAGGTTCGAGTTACCGGGAGTTCGAAGAAAATAGCCGAGAGTAAGATAAAAACAGTTTTTATTGCACAGTGAACATTTTAATCACATTTAATTGTAGAAATGTGAAGTAAAAATTAAAAGATACTTTTAGATTATAAATCAGAACGTAACGTAACAAAACATAGCCTAAATGGAGCATGCATTTTACTGTTTTGAGAAGAAAAGCTGCTTCACATTAGCCTGTGACAATCAACATCAGCCTCCGCCAGTAAACTATACTCCTACAACACTTCAATAGAAAATCCAAAATTCAATGTTTCGGATGCCAGTAGACAGCTTTTTTCCCTACTTTTTAAGTGCCCAAAACATTGTTCGAGTTATTGAGGGTAAAATCATATAGAAAATGACCTGAAGGGAAACGAAAATTGGTTCAAGTTAGCGGGAGTTCGAGTTATCGAGGGTAAACTTACATTGAATGTATGACGGAAATCCAGGGGAAATCGATTTTGGTTCGAGTTAGCGCAAGGATTGAGTTATCAAGGGTTCAAGTTATCGGGAGTCAACTGTAGGTTAATAGTAGGCAGCATATACATCTATTCCACTGTGATAGAGTTGTTGGTTGATGGGTCATTTTGACTGGGCTGGGAAATATGAAAGTAAATAGACTTTCTTCATATATGGTGAAGTGAGAACTAATCTTACTGGGTAATAGAGCAAAAATTGATTTTAAACCTGAGAGATATTATGCTGAAAACAAACAAACCCACAAAGTTAAGCTACTTTCACATGTATGTCCATTGTTAAAGGGATACAATGATTTTTCTGTGTTTCTGGGATTATTAAAAAATTGAATCTGAGGGGTGAAAAAGTAGCTTGACCTGCACTGGGTTTTAGACTTGTGAGTGTAAAGCCATCTGTCCTTTTCCTTCCAGAGCATTTGAACTATCTTGGCATTGATGAAAAATTTGGTCCGGTAGCATTGTCGCTGAAACGAGAAAGACTTGATGAAAATTCGTCTCTTCTGAAAAGTGGTGATTCCGAGGGAAACCAATACCAGTATCGCATCATTGTCAGGACAAGTGAGGTAAACTTCAGAGTTTAAAATTTTTTATTTGCCTTAAAATCATTTTTTTTAGTATTGATGCTGTGCTCTTGCTGTGGTTGGTGGCCCCTGGTCCCTTACTTTTGCTCTTGGGGGGCGTAGAAAATCTTGGAAGAGAATTCCTGGTCATGTATGCTCCTTGAATGCTAGCCCTCCTTAATGAAGGAGATGCATGTAAGAAAGAAGACAAATAGTTTCTTTGTTCTCAGCTTTTAGGAAGCAGTTTAGATTAGTTCCTTAAAGTATGTGCAGAGCTGTCACTTAAATTTCATGTTGCCAGGTAGATGGAATTAGTAAGCTTTTATTTCCCGTTTGTTTCCTATGAAAGTCGCTTGGTGTCTTGCTTATGATAGCCAGGGGAATCCCCTAGCCCTTAGTAAAAGCCCTGGCCTCAGATGTTCAAACGTTGGATAGCGCTACCCACAGGATAAATCACTATCCAGCGAATAAGTATACGGAAATCAATTTCGCTATCCGTGAATGATGTTTTATCTGGTGGATAGTGCTATCCGATGTTTGAACTACTGGGACCTGATGTGTTGTTTTGGATTTGCAGCTCACTACACTTCGAGGAAGTATTCTAGAAGAGGCAATTCCATCGACATCACGGCATGGCTCAGCACGTGCTCTTCCTGCCAAGGACATTTTAGAACATGTTTGCCCAGAACTCCAGCTCTCTGCATTGAGAATGGCACAGCCTGGAATCAAGGTAATAGCCATATTTGGAAGCTTTTTTAAAATTTATTAGATGCACCAAAACAAGGTCAACCTTAGCCTCACATTCACTCAAAGGCTAGGATACTAAGCTCACAACTGTAAAATGGTCTATTCATCAAATATGCTTTCTTTATTGTCAAGCTATCAGCTGGTCAAAATCACTACCTACTTTCAGGGTTCCAAAAAAGTTTTGAAGTTGGCAGATTTATTGTTGAAGAAGTTTCCTGATTTTCCCTTTTTCTTTTTAATGATTAGGGGAATGGCCCATGCGGAGTAGATGGCCCCAGTAGGTGGTGATTCTTACTGGCTATTTTTATGTTTTTGGTCAGGCAGTCTGCTGTGCTATTTATGTGATTCATTAGTAGAAGATATTCCAACTACTTCAGCACTTTCTGACAACTGTATGCTTTGTGCTCCCACAATGATTAGGTGCTCAGGAGATGTGCTATCAGTCTAGCTGCTACCATTGACAGCTGGACACGTATCAGTGATTTTTTGTTGTTAACTTACTTAAGTTGCATTAAAATGTCTTTCTCTCTTGTTAGGTGCCTGAGCAGCTTATGAAACTGGATGAACAAGGGGTAAGTAACAAAGATAATATTATTATGTACAGTTTGTAGACAAGATGAAATGTTTGTTTCTCTGAACATTGGTAGCCAACAAAGTGCAGGATTTGAATAACTTACCTTGCCCACACATCAAGCCACTATGGATGGAGGTTAAAAGGAGTCGGAACACTGTGGAAAAACCCTTCCTAGCCTGCGAGCAAGCTCTCCGAGATGCTCTGGCGGTGGGTGAGTAAAGGAAGGAGAGCTTGCAACTACGTCTCTGGAATTTGAATATCTGCATCAAAAAAGTCAATGCAAAATAATGATTGGCAGAGATGACATTAGAAATTATGTCATTATCCTTGGTATGTATTTTTCAATGATTGTTTACATTCGTGCTTGTTCCACTTCGCGCTGATTGGCGACAATCTGACAGCTCAGTTGATGGGGAGCCACAGGGGAAGTAGAGGTGGAATTCAAATTCCAGAGATGTAGTTGCAAGCTCTCCTTCCTTTTCCTGCCCCACCGCTAGAGCACTCTGGATTGCTTGGTCGCAGGCTAAAACCCTTCCAAGTAACCAAGTTACAGGAGACTTTGCCCCTAATGACAATTTTTGATTGCTTGGGCTCATTACGCTATCGCCCCTTCACCCCCCGCTAGCAATGTTGCATCCAGAATAGGACTCATTTTACCCAACTTGTACAAAATTCAAAATTGTTTGGGGTGGGGGGGAGGGAAGGGGTGGGGGTCAGGTTGCCAGTTTTACCAACACTTTTGACCTCCACTGATGTTAATGTTTTATGCAATTTTATTGGTAGTGATGTACATGTACAATATTTTATAGACAGTGTTAAATTTGTGCCAACCAATGAAATCCTGTTTGTTTGCTTTTAGATGACGAATCAATTTAAAGTTGGTGTATTGTATTGCAAAGATGGACAAAGCACAGAAGAGGAAATGTATAACAACCGTAAGTTGAATTAATTGGTAAACTAGGGCAGAGAGAAAATTTTAAATCAAAAGAATGGTTGCAGTTTATTATATATTGAACAACAAAGTTCCTTGGAAGTGCTGTGACACATCATGTGGTTATTGAATTTGTAAATTTTTCGGTAATGCACACGCTGAAATGTAACTTGGGGGACTCGCTGGTTCAGTGGTTAGTGCTTTGGTCTTTATTTCAGTAGGTCCAGGTTTTGGCCCTGCAGAGTCATTTTGATGTGTTCTTGTGTTTCACTGTCACAGTGCCTCACTCCACCCACTGAGGTGTAAAAAACAGTTTCCAGCTATTTAAATTCTGGGGGTAACCCGGCAATGAACTTAGCATTTCAGTGGGGAAAAGAGATAACTTACTATTTCTAGTCACTTCATGCCACAGAAATAGGATTTAGTTTTTGGATCAGTTTCTGGGAAACTGCCCACCTGCCCCTCCCCTAACTCAACATTAACATTTGGGTCTCACTTGGGGCAAAATGTTGGGTTAGGGGAGGGGTAGGTGGGCTGTTTCCCAGAAACCTGAACTGATCTGAGTTTTTTAGGATGCTCAGGTTTAGGAGCTATTCACTTGATGCCGAAATGACTTTCATTGTGGAATGAGTTCATTCAATCTCCGTATTCTTTCTCTGTATTTGCTTACTTGATACTGAAGCAACACGTAGTTCCTGTTCAAGTCATTCTGGAGTGAGTTCATTCTGGTGAAATTCTTGTTCTCGTATGAAGTTTCATTCTGGTATCATGTAAACTGAAACCAAACTAGTGCAAGTAGCGCATGTGTATTTGATCTTTCACGAAAACCACGTTCGTGAGAGTGCCTTGGGTTGAGCTAGTCAATTTTATTTTGTGATGATTGCAGTACAAACTTCATTCTGGAAAGAAACCCATATTTCCAGAATTTTTCATTCTGGTATCATATAAACAGCCCCTTACATGTACCTTTTTATTATGTCCCTTTTTTGTTTAACAGAAATGTCAGGTCCTGCTTTTGATGAATTTCTGGAACTCATTGGAAAAAGAGTCGCGCTGAAGGGTTTTGAAGGGTACAGAGCCCAGTTGGATAACAGAAGTAAGTTCTAGACAAACAGACATGTAATGCTCTTTGGCTTTGTTTCATCCTTACACTTGCAAGTAATAAGTATTATTCTTTAACAATATCACCATTTCGGTAGCACAAAGCAAAAATGTTTGTGAGGATTACTAGGGGAGGGGGAGGAGGACTTTGGTTGGGGTTATTTGGGGAAGGGGGAGGGGAACTTTTGTGGGGGATTAGTTTGGGGAGGGGAGGGGAATGGTTGGGAGAGTTTTTGGGAGAGTTGGGAGGGGAACTTTGATGGGGGATTGTTTGGGGGAGGGGAAGGAGAACTTTGGAGGAATTATTTGGGGTTAGAACTTTGCTGGGGGAGTGGTTGGAGTGATGAAACCAGGAGAGATAGAGGAAAAAGAGATAAGGAAGGTGCAGCCCTTTACTAAAACAATACCTTCTGGTGTGCAAGTAAATAATATTATTTTAGACAATACAGAGATTATAAACTGCCATAAAGCCATAACTGCCTATGAACAGACTGATGGTTAACTCACTGTCAGTCAGAGTACTGATTGTAAACTTTCTGTTTTGCAGATGACTCCACTGGAGAGTATTCAGTGTACACACAGTTCCACGGTCGAGAAATCATGTTTCATGTCTCAACACTTTTGCCCTGGACACCTAATAATAGACAACAGGTATTATATTTATCAGGGTGTAGTCAACATGAACAGTTAACTTGGAAAAAAACCTTTAGCTCTTACCAGTTGCCATGAAGAAATGAGATAAAAATTAATACATATTATACATATGTAGTAACTACACCAGAATCAATTGTTGGTCACTTGCCAATGCTCATATCAAAAGGTCAGTGCCGGATCCACACCTTGAGATAAGGGGTTGGGGGGTGGGGCGGTCATCCAGACCCTTAGAAAAAGAGGTGGGGGTGCCGATCTTCCCAAAAAATTTTTCAGCCCTTCGGGCCTCAGTTTGGTCTAAAAGTAAGGGGGGCCTGCGGGCCCCTCCCCTGGATCCTCCACTGAAAGGTCAACCTGTGTTAAGCAGTTGGTTGGTCACTCCTAAGGGTAACTGTCTTATACATGTTTTCTCTGTATTTCCTCCAAGGCAATGCTCTTTGGTACCGTAAAATTCCGAAAAATTAATAAGCCCCTCCTAATTAAGCCCCCCAAACTCGTAACGCAAAAAAACCTCTGTTAAATCGCCCCTCCAAATATAAGCCCCTCGGGGGGGCTTGTACTTGGAAATTGCCCTCAAATACAAAGAAAAGCAAAGAAAAAATGGTAAATCTCCTTCCAACTATAAGCTAGCCCAATCGACTTTGAAACGCAAATTTCCCTCCCTGGATAAGCCCCTCCGAATATAAACCCCTCCAAAAATAAGCCCCTTAAAAAGGGCCTTTGAAAAAAATAAGCCCCGGGGCTTATTTTCGGAATTTTACAGTAATTTTCAATAATAACATGGAATGATGTTCTCCATTTTGTTGCAGCTTCTCAGAAAAAGACACATTGGCAATGACATAGTCACTATTGTGTTCCAAGAGCCTGGTGCACTTCCATTCACACCAAAGAACATTAGATCTCACTTTCAACATGTGTTCATTGTGGTCAGAGTTTTCAATCCATGCTCTGATAATACATATTACAGGTATTTGACTAAAAGGCATGCAGCCCTCTCAAAATAATGTTCAGGCTGGTACCAGTATTTAACCTTTTTGGGTTTGTGGTAAAAGTTAATAATATTGTTAAATTACTTAAAGAAAATTGACAGATTGATTTTATTTTTCTTTGACTGGGTGGAATACAGTTTCAAATTCAGGAAGGTGTAAATGTAAATTGTGAGTAGAACATTTTTCTGGAGGGGTTCTTTTGAGGCAGACCCAAATTTTGAAAATTCTTCCCACTCAGGAATTTGCAAGTTGCTTGCTAGAAATAATATTTTGGAATTTTTGAATGGTTCACATTAAATTTGAAGGCTAACGATCGAATTTAGCAAATCAGATTTAAACATTCACAAGATCACCTATGTGCTAGATTTCCCGACTTCTTCTTTTACTCTGTTGCATTTTGAAGAAGTTAGGGATAGAAACTAAACTCTGGTTAAGTCTGTCTGCGAAACAGCGTTAAAATCCTTGTTCTGGGTCCCCACCTGTGTATCATGATTTGAGTATGTGCCATGATTGATCTTTTGAAAAAGCCATTGTCGACTTGCCAATCAAAGTTAAAGGAAGTTCAAAATGCACTTCTGGTAATTCATTGAGTCCATTGGGGGCCCAGAACGTTTATCTTGGCGCTACTTCTAAGACGTTACCTACTGGGGTTAAATTACTTCTGCAATGCAGGCTAGGGATAGCCATGACAATGCTATAAGTTGGGAATTATTTTTTTATGGTTATGTTTAGAGTCGCTGTAAGTCGTTCTAAAGACGTACCTCCATTTGGACCAAATATACCTGCCGGGGCCAAGTTTGGAAAGCAGAAGGCTTTTGCAGACTTCCTTCTGACAAAAGGTAAGGAGAGCCTTTTCCATGACTTTGTACATCTGTCTGAAGATTGCTTATTGCGGGTGATCAGGGATGGCGCAGTGGTGAGAGCATTTGCTTCCCACCAGTGTGAACTAGGTTTAAGTTTTGGTGTCAACACCATACATGGGTTGAGGCTATTGTTGGTTCTCTTCCTTTCTTTGAGATGTTTATCTCTGGCTATGTCTGTATCAGTTTTCCAAATTCGAATTCAATCTGGAAAGTGTTTCCAATTAGTCGGAGACTAGCCTGTTCCAGGCATTCAGATAGTGGTGTGCGACATTAAGGAAGAGAGTGAGAAAAAAATAAGGAGGAAAAGAGGGAGAGTGTGTTTTTTTCTGGTCACATCTCTTTGTGCTGTCCCATGATCTGAATGCCTGGAACAGGCTCAATGAAGACACTTAGAAGGCCACAGGTTTATAAGTTATTTAAACTGTCTATACTAGTGTCATCGTCTCAATAAATAATGTTAATTTGGTGGTTCTAATTTTTAAAACCAAAACCTTTTGTAAATATGGGACTTTGTTTTCCAAACAATGCCAGGATCTGGTGGTGGTTCCTAGGGAGAACACAACACTTTAATCACCACGAGACAGACTAATCTATTCTGGTACAGAAGCTAGACGTGTGTTATACTCCGGAGCAGTTCAGAGTGGTTTTAGAGTTATCTACCTCATATATTACAGCATGAACTGTCCAACTACAGGTTGGGGAAGGAAGCGGGGCAGCGGGGGGGGGGGGGGCGCTACTTGAGGAATTTTGTTTTATTCCTTTCAAATTAAGCCACTATCCTGGAGTCACTATTTTCTGGAAACTACTCAGGTTGAGGCTTTCTTTGCTGCTAAACTGGGTTGTAGTTAACTTTGAATTAACCAATTCAATTTTTTGAGTGTCAATTATCAGTTCCCCTACTCTAGACTAAAATCTTCAACCATTAGATCCTTTAACAGTTTTATCATCTTTTAATGTCGACCATATTAGTCATGGCTCAAAGGCTTGGTGGAATAGATGAATCACCTAGAGCTTCAGGGATGAATAGTGCATTTCTTTAGTTTTATTCCTTTCAACCTTGCAGCCAAGTATAAATTTTAAATTGTCGAAATAATTTCGGTTTTTTGAAAGTGAACACAAATACCGAAAGCCAAATACCAACTTTTCCTTTTGAAAAAAACTGAAAACCAAAATGTGTGTGCAAAAGGAAAAATGAAAATTGTGGCTGAAAAACGAAAACTTTGCGAGTATTACTGAAAGTCCAATTTCAAAGAGTGGCCTATACTGCTAAACCAAAAACCTCAATGTTAGTTTTTGTTGTTGTTTTTAATTTACAGTTATGAATGCCGAAAATGCTGCTCACAAGTCTGAGAAATTCAGTGCTATGGCAACAAGAACAAGACATGAATACTTGAAAGATCTGGCAACAAACTTTATTACCAACACCACACTGGAGACTGGTGCCAAAGGAAAAGGTACATTGTAAACGAACAGGGCTGTCATTAAAGAGCCAGGGGCCAGGGATCTCCTCCAGCTACTATGGACATGGTCTCCGGCTACTTTCATAGGGAAATAGAAGAAACATAAAACCAAAAGAAATCCCTAGCTGTTTGATTCCCTGCCTACTTGTTGTATTTACCCAGCAACTTGAAATCTTAGTGATGTCCCTGAATGAAATACATACATTATGGATTTAGTACTTTGACGTTTACAAGGTGCCCCTTCGAGAGGCATTGGGCCACCCCGAGCATAGCTGGGAAAACTGCTGACCAGCATTACTTCAAGCTTAACTTTCCCTAAATTACATTTAGCCACATAAAAATTATTTTACGGCTCCAGTCTGAAGATCCGCGCTTAAGTTCCACTCTGATTTACCATGCTGATATTTATTCTTGGTAGTCTTAAGTTCAATTCGTTCATTTTGCAAGTTCATTCTTGCAAAATGGCCAACTGGTTGTTTTGCCTCTTGCCCATTTGGATACTTTTTTAATCTTGAAAAAATTAATATGGCCGTGCTATTTTTTTAAACAACTGTAATATTCTGGTTCCTTTGCAAAATGTACCAATAAGGAGTTCATTTCTCAGATCATTGGTTTGAACATAGTCATGATAACTATGAGACTTCACAGCCTCATTATATTTACTTGAGTAAATATATACTTAATAAATAATCAGTTTGACGTTTTGGTTTTGTGGCAATTGCCACACTATCATCATTAAAAGTAGATGTTTATTTGTTTCTTCGAAAATTGACTTTGGAAGCGAAAACTTTTAATTACTGACGTATCTTTCATTATTGGGTCTGCTTCCACAGACCGTTCGTTAAGGACTAATCAAAAGTGCGTGTTTTTCTTTTGTTTTTGATAACTCTATAAATGATCAGTTCTTTGAGCCCTAACTGTAACACTATGTTTTGCCAGGTATTCTAAGATCAACAAAGAAGAAGGAGAAGGTTCGTCCACCCATTTCGCCAGAGAAAGTTTCCAGGGGAGCATTAATTTGGAATGTACAGGTGATAGTTGGTTTTTGCTTTTGGTTGTTTTTATTTGTTTGTTTGTTGTTGTGTTACTTATACTCTTATAAAAAGTAATCATTGAGGGTACATGTAGTTTAGACTTCGTCCTTCGTCTGATTTAATATGACGCGGGACCTTTCGCGACTTCGTTGCTCGCTTGGCGGCTTCGCAGCTTAAAAAGCGCTTCGCTCGTTAAGAAACTCGTGAGGTCGAATTGCAGCAAGTCTAAGGGTAGTTAACCCTTTCAGCCCTAACATCAAAATTCAAATTCCCATTTGCTGTCCCTATACGTTTCCTATAAAAGTAGTAGCGAGAAGGTGTTGAAGTATCAATTCATTGTATCTTGTGTGATCATCTCCTTAATTCTCATCACCAATCTGTTTTATAAAGCATTAATATCACAAGGAGAATTTTGATACTGATCAATCTTAGGGCTTAAAAGGTTAATTAAGCCTGACATGGAAAGCCAGTTCAGCTAGCCTGTACCAGGCTTTCAGATTGTGGACCAGTGGCACGGAGACAGAGAGCAGGAAAAAAAATATTAGAGATTAAGATTCACGTTTATACCAAACGGAAAACGAGGATAGAGGATTTATGGTGTAGTACATGAACTCAAAGTTGTGCTGTATGAATTTTTTGCAGGTTGAGGATTACAGGAATTCATCCATGATTGAGTGTAAGATGGGCATCTCTGCTGATACACTGGTGTTGATCCATTCCTCTAGCAAGGTTAGTCGTACAACTTTGTCATACTTAGTTCTATCCATGTTTCTTCTATGACTGTAAATGTAGAGATGTCTTTTATGTAGGTGATTAGTCGCAAAAAATATGTTAAGTCCTTTTCAATGCAGTCTAACCTCCACTAACGACCACCTCTCTACAACGGTCACTTTGTTTGTCCCGTCGCACAGTCCATACATTAGGCTGATTTAGCAACAGGACGGGAACGTCATTTGACGACGGGAAAGCGCGCGGAAAGGACTAAACACGACTTCCGGTGCTCAATTTGCCGCTCTGCCATTGGTCAAGCCAGTTGTTTGATTTGCGCGCACCGTCTTCAACTGGCTTTCCCGTTCTGTTGCTAAATCAGCCATTGATTTCTGTTTAAACCTCTCTACAACAGCAACGACCAATAAAGCGTGACCCCAAGCGCTAAAATAAGCTCTTGACAATTGCCATTTTTTTCTGTGATCGATTAAAAAGTCATGAAATTGGATCGGTATAGTGCGTTGATGATTATGGCAATCTTATTTTGATTATGTTCTATTTATACTGCTGTAGTGAGCATAAATTGACTACGATACTTGTAGCGAATGTTGCGAACCTTGCTCGTTAACCTTTTGATTCAAACCATTATTAAGCTTTTTGTGTATTTTATCTGTATATATTATATATGATTGGATTACCATCACGGGATACATTAAGCATGAACGTATCACAATAAACATGTTGAACTCGCTGAACAAATATTTGTCATATTCCACCCCTACCTCCCCATAACGGCCAAGGGCGTAGCCACCTCATAGACCTGTAGGCCTCGGCCTACAATTTTTTGGTTTGATCACTCTACCCCTTGCAATAAATTATGCGTTTTGGGGGTGAGCTAAAAAGCTTAAGAGCTTAAAGTATTGGTGAGCTCAGTGCGTACTAGTCATGTGTACACTTTTCAGGACACGTGGAAATGAAAGTCGGCCAGGCCTACAACTAGTCAAAAGCTGGCTACGCCCCTGACGGTCACCTCTTCACAGCGGCCATTTTCTTCTGTCCCCAATGTGGCCGTATTGGAGAGGTTCGACTCTTTTTTTTTTTTCATTTTCTTGCAGGAAGTTTTGTTCAGCATTCCATCTAAATCAGTGATTGGCTGGACGTCACTTTCACAAAGGTATCTTCATTGTCAGAAAAATTATGATTATAGAAAACAGAGCGCTTGGTTTTTCCCCCTTGAAATGTATAGTTATTCATTTTTGAGAGTTTTATGTAATACACTTTGCTTTTCTGACTACAGTATCAAGGTATTTTATGGCAGTGGAGAATGTTTGGTGTTAAACATTCCCACGTCTGACTCAGATGACATCCCAGAGATTGTTAGGAGACTTGAAGAAATTTCTATTGGTTGCCAGGTAAAATTGTTTTTCTGTGTTTCTTCTTACATAGGCAAACACTGCCCGGTTAAGTCAAACTACTCGTTGCCCCCGTAGTAGGCGCAAAAAGGGGAGGGGAAGGGAGAGGGGGAGAAAATCCCTTACCCTCTCTCCCCAACCCCCCTCCCTTTTTCCCTTTCTCGCAATCCCCTATCCCTTTCGGCGCCTGCTATGCGGGCTAAACTGGCTGGTGAGCTCAGCTGGCAGAGTGTATGTCTGCTGAGCGGAAATGAAAGTCGTGGCAATCAGCCAATGACATTCAGAATTATATTTTTAACAGGAAATTGATGATACAACATTCTCAACCTCAGTAATAATTCATAAAGAAAATACAAAGGAAATTAATGTTGAATCAGTGTTTGGAAATCAGATGAAAACTGCTCATTTTTGCATCCTTAATTTCTCCCTCTAAAATCGTCTTGTTTGAGAAGTAATATCAAGCATTCGACACAGTGTTTCATCTGGGTGACCTCAAAGTTTGTCAAAAATACTTCATAACGGCTCTCGGTGTATCATCTGGTGATAAAACACTGCGTCTCATGCTTGATATATTACGTTAAGTTTAACGTCATTTTGCTCTATAAAGAAAGGGGAGCCGGCTAAATGTACCTTTATATTACCACATAGTAACGTCCTTCAGTGCACCATAAACTCCCTGTTTGTCGAAGGAAGACAAATTTAACAATGGTGGGACGACCAATCATATTTCGATGTGATTAGCTCTATGAAGTATAATAGTAAATCTCTTATTCGATGTTTTGGTAGATAAATCAGACAGCCATTTTTCTCATTGCTCCCAGTATTCTCTGTATTATCTGCTAAAACATGGCGAATAAGGTTTTTAATAATAGTAGTAATAATAATGATGATGATGATGATGATGATAATAATAGTAATAGTAATAGTAATAATAATAATAGTCTTTAGATTCTGAGACGAGTACTTGGTCTCAGTACTAAGTAGTGCACGCGCGTGAGCCAGCGTCTCTGTGGCGGGAAAACGTGATAGCCGTAGCCATTCTACCATGAGGTTTAGCGAGAATGTTGTAGTGCAACCGGGAAAGAGCTAAACCCTCACCAATAAAAATAACCGCACTAATTTTTTCGGGTGAAAAATTGTACAAAAGCTTTCCGGGTTAAATATTTGTCCTCAATACGCGAAAAAACTCTCGTGCTCGTAGTCGTCCCCCGCTCCTCGTCCTCAAATCTAAAGCAGGTATTTTCTTCCTCACAGACCCAAATCATGACTTTACGGCGCAACAACATGGGACAGTTGGGATTTCATGTACAGTTTGAAGGACTCATCGCGGATGTTGAAAATTCCGGGCTTGCCTGGCAGGCAGGACTGCGACAAGGATCTCGACTTGTTGAGGTTTGGAGCAAAGTCATAAAATTCAAGTACAGAACCAATTGAGAGTAGTGTTAGAAAAGAAATACTTTCTATTCTTTCGGTTACGCACTAAAACCTTCAATCCAGAGATGCAATTAGCTCGTACCATGAGAAAACTGTTGAAGAGGTTGCATTTGAATGCTGTTGCCAGGGTGTTCATTAAGCATCGGAGATCGCAGAATTCTCCGGCTAACGTTCGGTAGCCTATGACTAGTTTTTATTCAGACGTGGAGACTATCAAAATATTCTCCTATAACGTTACACCTTTCTCTTATTACTAGAATTCTTTCTGAAAACCCTGCGAGTTTTGTCATTAGATTTTGGCCCTCAACCCAAAATTTGGAAATTCAAGTATGCTACCCTTTTCGCAAAATCATGTGATGCCATGCAAATCAGTGTTTAAAAAGTGACGCCTTTTGCAACGTACTAGCAAGCTCTAGGGATGGTGAGTGGGGGGAGAAAGGTAGCCAGTTCGAGGCGTTCAGATAGTAGAGCCCAAGAAACAAAAGTGAAGAAAAAAAAAAAAAAAACGGGGGGGGACTAGAGGGGGGAAGGGGATGGGGGACCCCCCCCCCCCGTTTTCCCGGTGGACTCGTAACTCTCTCCCCACTGACCGCTGCGCTCTACTAATTGAACGCCTGGAACAGGGTAGGTGAAAGGGTACTCGCTCTCACTCCCTTATTTCTCCAGCATGAATCGAAATTTATGATGTCAATAACTTATTTGTCATAACAAATCCTTATTTTCCAGATCAATGGGCTGATTGTAGCCATGCTGAGTCATGATCAGATGATTGACATCTTACGCAAGCCTGGATCAGTGTCTGCTGTTATTGTGCCGCCCTTCCAGAGCGGAAAACCAAGAAAGTGTGTACCTCCTACTTGAATTTCTTGTTTAACACGCAAGTGCACCGCTCGCAAGGCGCACAATCATTGACGTCAGAGTTGATGACGTCAATGATTGTATATTGCCCGCATCTTCTTAATTTGGTCAGCGCCAGCAGGGTATGAAGAATTAGCCAGGGGTTAGAGCCAATCAGAAACGGCGAAATAGTTTGAATGACCAATAATAATATTTCTTACAGCTTTTATTATTCCAGTTTACCTTCGTTGTAAAGGTCTTTTCATTTTACGTCGTCATGATGAAAGGCATAGGATAAATTAGTTATGCAAAGGCTTGCTTGTATAATGAGAAATAGCAAGTCACTCACAGGATATTTCACGGTATACCACGAGAAAGCATTGGATAACTAATATATTCTATACGTTCAGTGATTTTGTTACCGCTGCGTCCCGCGTCCCTGACGCATAGAAATCCCCAATGACGCAAAATAATTCATGGCATGCGACCGCAAAGATTGATCAATCTGAACATGTGTATTTGTAGAAATATCCCGTTCGTGTAATTTCTGTGGCAGTTATTATCATGGCTGTTGTAAACGGTGCACAATTCTTTTAGCCTTTGTTGCGCTTTAAAATAGGTTTATATTAATTTCAGTATAGTGTAATACAGAGTTTTCATTTGGAGTCTGTCTTCAGATTAACTGTTTGGTTACTTAAAGGCTAGATTGTTCACAGTCCTCTATTTTTCCGTAAGATCGTAAGACGCACTATATCTCGACGATCTCACGCAAAAATGGAGGACTGTGAACAGTCTACATAAAGGCCCAAGCATTTTTAATTTCGGACTCGTTTTTTTTTACTGGGACCCATTGGTTCTGAAATGGGACTCATGATTTTTCACAAGATGAGTCCAAGGACTTACCTATGTTCGGCGTGGGTGTTCACATTTTCCTGGGTTACAACCTAATTCTCCTAACATTTTTTATGCAGATATACTTTTTCCCCAGGGGCACAGTTTAACTTCCCATAATATTTTTTATTCCCCAGGGGTATCCAATTACCTAGTGGGTCCTACTGGAGTGCCAGTCGTGCTTCAGTGGGGACTATTTCCTCGTTTGGCAGTGCCTCGTCCGTGGGAGAGGATGTAGATTCACGTGATGTTTCAGCGGGGTCGTCTACGTCCCTCTCAGCTGCTGATAGCGGTCGTAAGCAGTCGTTTAAAGTTGGCTCAAAAAGCAACGGCAAAGGCGGAAAAGACAGTCCTTGGGTGATGAGGCCGAATAATGCTGGCTCTGTTGAAGCAAGGTAACTAACCGTTGTTACATCTTACCTTTAGAGTGCATATAGTCCTCATTTTTCGCATTTCGTAGGCTGGCTTTGACGCTTGATGTCCCACTGTCTAGGAAAAATAATAAGAGACTGCTCCTCACTACTTCGTGACTGAGATTAAAAAAAAAAGTCACTCGCATACCGTAAAATTCCGAAAGTAAGCCACGGGGCTTATACTTTTCAAAGGCCCTTTTTGAGGGGGTTATTTTTGGAGGGGCTTATATTCGGAGGGGCTTATCTACGGAGGGAAATTTGCGTTTCAAAATCGATTGGGCTAGCCTTATAGTTGGAAGTAAATTTACCGTTTTTGCTTTGTTTTACTTTGTATTTGAGGGCAATTTTCCAAGTACAAGCCCCCCCCTTTTTTGGAGGGGCTTATTTTCGGAATTTTACGTTATTTTCATGAGGCTTAGAAATTACTATATTTACTAATTTATATCATTGCGAATAGTCGTCTATTAACGTGCAATCCCTAGCAGTATGTTGTATGATTTTCGAATGAACCCAGATAAATAACCTCAGCTCCAACAAGACTTCTGAAGTTCAGTGGTCGGAGTATTAGGACTAGTGACCAAGATGTGTTAGGTTTGACTCTCGTTGGGATGGCTTGGATTTTTTTGGAGTCGCCTGTTTCACTGACAAATATATAACATCATTTTGTTGTCTTGATTGTTCACCAAATAACCCACACCACCACCAGAATAAACCTACCAGTATGGAGACCATATGAAGAGGTTACCGGTCATCTCGCCCCGGTTACGTAGCCCCCTATTCTAGAACGAGGAATATTATATTTGAAGCGGGTTTGTTTTTGGTTTATGGCTTAAAGAACGAGGAATATTACATTTGAAGCGCGCTTGTTTTGCTTTATGGCTTATAGAACGAGGAATATCACATTTGAAGCGCGCTAAGTGACTCGAAAATAGGGGGCTAAGTAACAGGGGTTAAATGACCGGTAACCTATGAAGAATATGCATATTGATATGATACGGACTTTAGCCACCTACCCCTCCCCTAAGCCAAAAAGTTACTTCTCGGTTAGGGCAAAATGTTCGCGTAGGGGAGGAGTAGGTGGGTAGTTTCCCAGAAACTTTTAATGATCCAAATAATGGTCCCTCATTTCTTGTTCTCTTCAGAGCAATGTATTCTGGCTCCCGCCCTCCTGATTCCCCAGCGTCGCCTGGAACGAGTTCAACTTCTTCGGTCAGCGGCAGCTCGCAAACACTTCTTGAGACCCCGCGTGCATACGGGGCTGGAGCTTTTACATACGGGGCTTCGTACACCGTAACGAGTGTGACTCCTAATGGAGAAAGGTCCCAGGGTGCCGCAAAGTCCGTTGGTGTCACAGTGAAGGCCCATACAGCGTCGGGCACGTTATACGCTATCGCAAGCGGGCCTTCCTCTCCACCGCAATCTCCCCGCAGCCCTGACAAGCCCATATTTGGAAGCACATCGCAGAGGCATCGGAAAACGGTCGTGAATGGAGAGGGAAACTCCAGGGTCGATGTAGGTACGATGGATTCCAGATTCCCGGAAGACAGTTACGGTGCTGTTCGAGTGAACATCGAGGCAATGCCGGATAACAGTAGCAAACGGGATTCGGGTCACGAAACAACGCCGTATGTGGCGCAGAAAAACGACGCCATGCCTTTCAAGGAGACAAGTTTAGGAGCCGTGATCACGACAGTGAACACTTACAAACAGAAACCAAGCTACGAGGACATCACTGAAGCTTCTATGTCTGACACAGTGGACCAGATCGAGAAAGCGTTTGGGTTTCGAACCCCAGACATGATCGCAAATGGAACAGGGAGCTTAGAAAGAAATGGGAGCTTACGACTGAAAGTCGGGGATCGGGCGTCCTCGGGTTCGCTGCAAGATATTCAACTAACTCCCCGCAGAGCGCAGTCTGGGGAGACGCTGAACCAGTTCCGAGGCGGCGAAGGTGAAGACTCACAAGGAAACATTTTGAAGAGACTGACAAGAGAAGCGGACAGAGAACAGAGCAGGGTATTGCAGCGAAAGAGTGAAGGCGATCTACCGCAAAATGTGATGCAAGGCAGAAACACCACGACTACGGTAGTCGAGGCGTCACCCACATCCGTGGAAGTGAAAAAGGAAATGAGACGCAAGTCAGAGTACGAAGCGCGTTTGGCTGCCAGGAATCTTCTGATCGAACGCTTGGAAAACCATCGGCAGTCCCTGGAAGGTCCCAGTGACAAAGTGGAAGGGATTAAAATTTACCACGCTAAAAGCCGAAGCACCCCTGTGGATTGGAGAAATGTAAGCGAGGACAAGCAGACAAATTCAAGACTCACCACGCAGGATGACAGCGCGAAGATGCCTGCCGAGCGAGTGCAAGATGACGACGTGAAAACTCCGCATCATCTTAGGCGAAAGAAATCGGGTGAGCAAAGCCCGAGTAAGGTTCGGACGCCCGACACTAACCGAACGTCCGTTAAACCAGTGGTGCGCTCCGAAAGAAAAATCCGTTTGACAAGTTCTGCGAATCCAGGCCATCACTTGCCTGCTGATAAATCGCACACGGTTCCACGTCAGAGATCAAGCAGGCGACGCCATAGTTCAAAGCAGTCATCAGTGACCGCCGCTGGCGGAAATTCTGATTCTACCGATGAAGAAACCAGAGAAAGAAACGCGGACGCAGTGGACGCTAGTCAGATGATTGCAGGGAAATTGCTCTTCTCCCCAGAGAGTCACAAAAAATCTTCGAGTCTCCCGCGTGAGTGGGACGCACGGACCACGCCTCACGCGACCATCCCGCGCGAATCTCGAGGACATCGTTCGCATTCTCAGTCACACTCCCATCTCAAAAACGCGCGGATTACCAAGATCAAAATGAGCGCCAGTGAAGAACCGAGTGACTCGATCGTTGATCAGACTTCTCGGCTTCTTCATGCGGCAAAAGCTGTCAAGTACGATAAAGGTTCCTCGCTCGTTGTAGCTGAAGATGTGCTGCACTCGCTGACACGCGCTTCGGACCTGCTGCATCACCAGTCCTCTGTCGCTAGAGAAGAAAGGGAAAAGGAGAAAAGAGACAAGGACAAGTCGTTGAGCAGGATAAAAGCACCAGGTAAGATTTCTTTATCCTGTTGGCCAGCAAGCTTTAAAAGTGACATTTCTGTTATGACATGCAAAACTTAATGTTAAGAAATGGTGGAAAAGAAAAAGGACCCATTAAAAGTCCTGCCAATGAGATTTCATATGAATGGTCACACCATAGGATTTCATCCACAGACTGAAAAGTCAGAACCACCTTGGACAGCATAATAAACAGTACCACAGGAAAGTACTGCGCAGTAGCTTTCATGTGGATATTCACACTTTCGGTCTTTATCCACAGACTCAAAATTTAAACCACGTTTTACCGCAGCATAATAAATAGTACCAAAAGGAAAGTACTGCTCATTAGCTTTTATTTCCGTAGTCATACTTTAGGATTTTATCCGGAGACTAAAATGTTAGAACCACCGTCTACAGCGTAATAAACAGTACCACATCAAAATACTGCTCAGTCGCTTTCATTTGAATGGTCGCATCATAGGATTTCATCCACAGACTTAAAAGTTAGAACCACCTTGTACGTCATAGTAAAAAACATCACGATGAAGTACTGCTCAGTGGCTTTCATTTGAAGGTAAGCGCGGTCAGATTTCAACCAAAATATATGTGCGGAAATTGCTGCTTAGGAGTGGTATTCATGTCTTTGGCGTGGCTCGCATAAGTGTTCCAAACTTGAAAAAGTCAATCTTATTTGATCCCTTAGGGATTAGTCTTTTATACACCGGATAAACCGTGTATAACCCGTCCTCCCCTAATAGTGACCAAAGATAAAGTTCACAATAATTCAAATTCCTTTCTGTAAAATCCTAAGAAATACATAACACCATGCAAAAGATATCCCAAAGAGGATTTATTTGAATGGTAACACTTTAGGATGTCCTTCACAGATTTAGAGTAACAGTGAGATCGAGTGACAAAATATTTCTTAAGTATCCACATACAAATTCTTCTAACTCATCTCCATACATTTCCTTAAAGAAGTAGCTGAGAGATTTTGTTAAAAGATCAAAGTATTTCTCTTTAGTGATCATTTTGTTCAGTAATTCTCATAACCTTCTCCCTTCATTATGTGTTGAAATTGTTGGAAGAGAATTGAGTTGTAATTCGTTGTAATGCGCGGAATATCCCGAAGGTCGACGCCTCCTCGAGTAGTCTACTCTTGGAAGGTTTTTCAAGCGGAAGCCTGGACAATTGCCTCTTCCTTCGTATTGGGCAAAGAAAAGTGAAAGACGATTTGTGGTCCAAGTCCCTTTCCATCAAACAAAATAGGAGGCGAGGCGCAATTGTTCTTGAGCTTAACGAAAAAATAGACTAACACTCTGTAAAACTCGAGTCAAGTATTGAGTCGAGACAGCGCCTTTACATGGGTTGTCGATCAGAAAATATTTAAAGCAGCTAAGCTGTAAATGTTATCTGATAAGTTTATCTGTTAAGACAGTTTTAAAGTTTTAATGCTATCCGCTATTTTACCAAGGCCCATTGTGGAATCTGGTATGTTCGAACAGAGGCAAAGCGGAAGGGATTTTCTTTTTGTACGCATGCGAGAATTGTTTTCGAAACTTTACCCCAGGGATATCCTATCCTGTATTCTGTTCCCCTGGTGGTCGTGCCCCTGCCAGCTCTGCGCTAAATTGTTTGGCTTGATTCCAGTTAAAGGGCAACGGAATCGCAGTATACATGTTTTTTATACGCTGTGAATTTTGCTCTTCGATCCTTAGGTAAAATTATGACACACACGATGATCAAAAGTTACTGTAGACTTTGATCTTTCGACCTCCTCTTAATATTGATTTCTGATTGAGTGTGACAAGGTTGTCAGCAATTAGTTCTTTCAAGTATCTTCGGTGAAAGTGAAATAGTGCGAGAAGCATCTTATCCCTACCATGAATTCATCTTCATGGAAATTGGCACCACTGTTTTCTCCTTTCAGTGCGTTTTTTAGTGGACATTATTGAGTTTCTTTATTATGCAAATTGCAGACTAAGCTCGGTCTTAACAAATCTTTGTTTACATTTCGTAATCTTAATGAAAAAAGGTCTTGGCTAAAAATAAATCTGGCGTGGAATTTACGTGACGGAAAGGCTCTTGATATCGATACTGTCCATTTAAAGGTGCATTCGTCGACCAAGTTATAGTTTCGAACACAGAACAATGAGTTCCAGAAGGAAGTGGGACGTACGCAACATCTTGGACCTTCCAAAAATGAAATCTCGGCTTCAAGCGCTCACACCGAATGGTTTACGTAAGGGCAACTTTTTATTTTTATATATTTTTTTTCAGTGTTGTGTTGTTTTTGGCGAAGGCGGTTAGATTCACTGATTCAACTTTACGTGGGAAGTTTAGATCGAACAATCGTTTCCTAAGAAATTTTTCGCACGAAAACTTGAACTATTGTCCTTTAGGATTGATTGTTTGGTAGACTAAACCAGGGACTACATTGTTGTAAGGATCGTGCTTGAATGTGAACGCCAACCCGTAAGTTTATAGGGAAGCAAATAATAATCGGAGGTTTGCAAACTCTCTACAGCGTTATCCATCGTTTGACGGTTTAAAACGAAATTTTATTTACAAGATTTGAAGGATAATGTTTATATCTGCGGAATGGTTACGCATTAGAGCTCATTTTATGGTATTTAGCTAATTAGCTGACGAATAAAGAAATCATAACTCAACACTAAATGATGTTTACTTGACTCGATAACTCGAATGTTTGAGTAAGAGTTACACGAAAAGCTTTGGGTTCTCGAAGAGTGTCACTCCTGTACTGTAAAATCTGAACATAGTTCTTTGATAGATTTGTGGTTTAACAAAACCATTTATGTGCAGCGGAGATCCGTTTGGGCCGATTACTCAATAGAAGCAGCTAAGTGAATTAACCAGCGGGGAACGGATCTGTACATGTTATCGCTGGAGGTGTTACAATTTCTTAATTCGCCCGGTCAAAAAAAGTGTTTCTGAAATTGCGAGAAAATCCACGAATCAGATGTTTCGAACTGCACTTCCATGTAAACTATATTGATATAGCTTTGTTCTAGAGTCGAACACTGTTGTTGTTTTGTCTGTGTTTGCGTGTTATTAATTATTCCTCGGTGCTTTTTATTACTGTACTAGTATAGTGTTCCTGTGAAGATCAAATCTGATGATGGGGTTAAAAGCTTGTATGACGTCACCCTTAACCGCGAATCGGATGATCGACTTCCGGCCATTTAGAACCTCATTACTTTTAGGAGGGGTCGCCACTGAATTGTGCAATTTTTATTCACATTCGGTTGAAGCGGAAAAACCTGAAGAGAAAATTCTCCGAAGTCTAGTCTTCCTCAGAATTTTGTTATTACAACATATGACGTTTGTATTTTTGAAAGGAAATTGTGTTTCGCACACGGAACTTGCTGAAGCTGTTTCTTGGATTTTTAAAATAATTTTCAGGACTGACCGACAATCATAACTAAGTAGATTTGTCTGTCCTTTTCTAGAAGCCAAGACCGCATAATTACTTAATTTGGAAGACATGATCATTGTCTGGTCGATTTAGGTTCATATTGAATTACTGGAACTAGGAAATGGGTAAAAAAAAATTTGGGAATGATGCGAAAAGCTTGCTGACGATGAGAAAGAGAGAATTTTACACCGTCTTTAAACAGGGGCACCCAACGTCAATTTTCCGAAAATATCTGTTCGGAAGACGATCTCAGATCTAGAATTTTCGGAACATTTGTTGTAAAATTTCTTGCTTGCCTGCCTCTCCTATGATTTTCGAACATCTAAAAAATGGTATAATTGCCCATTTTTAACGGATTTTTATCCTAAAAAGGTCACCTAGAATTTTCGGGAGCCATTTTTCTGGCTGAAATTTTCGGAAAGATCCCTATAATTTTCGGATCACTAGACTTTCAGCTAGGAAATCCGAACAGATGAAAAATATTTAGGGGATAAAAATATGCCTATATCAAAATACTAAAATACGTTTAACAATGCTACGTTGAAGTGGTTTTGAACAATATTCTTTAAAAAGCAGCGTACTTTCGCTATTTAAAACAAAGATAATTATACCAATATCGGAATGACGTGAACTGAGACTAAACTGAGGGCGTATGTCTGCCGTAAATCTGTCAGTTTTAAGCTTTTTTCTTCAAGGCAAGGATGCGTTTCCGTGCAGTTCGTTGCCTCTTTCAACACAAGGGGTTTTTAATGAGGTTAGATAGGTTGTGCTTGATGGAAATAAGACTTTGTCGAATGTAACTCGGATTCAACCAATCGCTACAATTCTATGGTTTTCTCAGTGATGAGCGGCGATGGTCGCCACCTGTGATTCCGGGTCTCCCGTCACCCGTCACCCGTGACTCGTCACCCGCGACCCGTAGAAAAGTCCTGCTTCACGTAGGATAAGTCTTCCAGTTCCAAATTCTTCCGGTATATTCGAGTTATGTCTTTTATATGCCAGGTAGTTGTAGATCTTTTGAGTCTCAGTACTGAGGGATCCTATGGTGTGGCCATTCAAATGAAAGCCACTGGGCAGTACTTTCATTTGGTGCTATGTGAAAGGTTATTCTACCCGTGAAATCCTTGCTCAGTTTCTCAGTTCCTAGTCTGAAATGTCATCCGTCTCTTCGCCCCACCCCCTGTGGCGGTGGGCGAAGAGGCAGATGTCATTTCAGAGTACAGTCAACTCTTACTGAGACGGACACCTTGGGGACCTGCAGTATGTGTCCGTCTTAGAGAGATGTCCGTCTTACAGAGAATCAAATAGAAAAGTCCTGCTTCACGTAGGATAAGTCTTCCAGTTCCAAATTCTTCCGGTATATTCGAGTTATGTCTTTTATATGCCAGGTAGTTGTAGATCTTTTGAGTCTCAGTACTGAGGGATCCTATGGTGTGGCCATTCAAATGAAAGCCACTGGGCAGTACTTTCATTTGGTGCTATGTGAAAGGTTATTCTACCCGTGAAATCCTTGCTCAGTTTCTCAGTTCCTAGTCTGAAATGTCATCCGTCTCTTCGCCCCACCCCCTGTGGCGGTGGGCGAAGAGGCAGATGTCATTTCAGAGTACAGTCAACTCTTACTGAGACGAACACCTTGGGGACCTAGCCTGAGTATCAGGCCTTCCTAAGGGGATAGGGGAGAGGAGATTTTTGGTGGTCTCTCCCTTTTTCGCTTCCATCTTTCTCCTTTTCCCCCAGAAACGCCTGATACTCAGGCTATGGGGACCTGCAGTATGTGTCCGTCTTAGAGAGATGTCCGTCTTACAGAGAATCAAATAAAGGGAGAAAAGAAAGGCAGGGAGCAACTCTGAGTGTCCGTTTTACAGAGGTGTCCGTTAAGAGAGAGTAGACTGTACTGTCAAACCGCGTTAATACGGACACTGAAGGGACCACAGACAGTGTCCGTGATTAACGGGGTGTCCGTATCAAGTGGGTCATGTTATTAAAGTCAAAAATACACTTTTGATTAGAGCAAAATACCAAAGAAATAAAAGAGGACATAAGCATCGTCAAATTGAACGTCTCTAACCTTCACAAAACCATCATTACGCGTTCGTCTCGCGCCTTGCGCAAAATGCCGCGTTCGCCTCACTTTGCTCATAAAGCGTCTGTTATGCAGGCTAGTATAACAGGGGTGGGGTGGTACTTTGGAGCAAGGGAACCGTCCGTAATTGACCGCTCCAGAAAATACCATAACATACCATAATGCTCTTAGCTTGTCACCCAAAATTTTGCATAAGCATTGTCTTCAATTTCTCTTGGGAGTTTTATAAAAAAAATAGCCCCAAGAGAAACTGAAAACAATGTTTATGCAAAATTTTGTGGTGGCAAAGAAAGAGCATTATGGTATGTTAGGGCATTTTCTGGAGTGGTCAATAGGGGGTTGTCTGTAGGGAGTAGTTCGCTTTTATGCTTATGCAAAATTTTGTGGTGACAAAGAAAGAGCATTATGGTATGTTAGGGCATTTTCTGGAGTGGTCAATAGGGGGTTGTCTGTAGGGAGTAGTTCGCTTTTATGCTTATGCAAAATTTTGTGGTGACAAAGAAAGAGCATTATGGTATGTTAGGGCATTTTCTGGAGTGGTCAATAGGGGGTTGTCTGTAGGGAGTAGTTCGCTTTTATGCTTATGCAAAATTGTCTGGTGACAAAGAAAGAGCATTATGGTATGTTAGGGCATTTTCTGGAGTGGTCAATAGGGGGTTGTCTGTAGGGAGTAGTTCGCTTTTATGCTTATGCAAAATTTTGTGGTGACAAAGAAAGAGCATTATGGTATGTTAGGGCATTTTCCGGAGTGGTCAATTGACCACTCCAGAAAATACCATAATATACCATAATGCTCTTTGTTTGTCATCCCAAAATTTTGCATAAGCATTGTCTTCAGTTTCTCTTGGGAGTTAAAATGGCCCCAAGAGAAACTGAAAACAATGCTTATGCAAAATTTTGGGGTGATAAACAAAGAGCATTATGGTATGTTAGGGCATTTTCTGGAGTGGTCAATAGGGGGTTGTCTGTAGGGAGTAGTTTGCTTTTATTGTCCTCTTTTAATTTTTGGTTTTCCATACCTCTGCGGTCGTCTTGGAATTGATTGTAGCCTTTTTAGTTTCTGGCCTTTGCCCTTTTTTTTAAAGATAACCTCAAATTGTTCTAAATCTGGAAAAATCCACTTCTTGTGCCTTTAATTTATTAAGAGTGTTAAGCCATTGCAGTAACTATAACATTGTGATCGCTCCCGTCGTATTTTCTAGTAGGCTACTTTGGTATAAAGTGTTTTAGTTCATTTCCTGGAGGTTCAGTGAGGCAAATCTTTTCAATTTTAAAAACCTCATTAACCCTCGTTAAAAATCTTCAGCATATTAACGTATAGCTAATTATCTCGTTTTTTTTTTTTTTTTCAAAAAAAAAGCACAATGACTGAAGCGTTCGAGCGTTTAGTCATGTCTTTTGAATATTCATGAATCTATGATCTATGGGCTGATGAAAGTGTCCCACCACTTTTAGAAGGGATACTGGGGTGGTAATAATGTTATACAGTAGTCGATTCTTAGCAATCTTGTCCAAGGTTTCGAAGGCGCGGAGAAAATTTTGGCCTCCTCTGGCCGCCTGTGGATAATTTCAAAAGGTTCACTGTAGCGTAATAAACAGGCCTGCGTAACGTATAAATGAACGCCCCGCGGCAGGAATCTGTGAAGTAGCGTTGTGAAATGAAAAGAAAAACAATGGCGTCTCGTGATGCAAAGATTCTTGCCGATTTCAGCTAGCGACAAGGCGGTTTAGCCATGCCTGTTACCGATCCTCAGCGCAAATATCCACGAATATTGTGGCGAACTAACGCGAGGCCTTCATCAGCTGGAGCAGAGACTTCTAGTAAGCATTTCTATAGCTGTCGTGGCCAGTCTTATACTAGTTGTGTTTTTTGCGGTTGAGATATTCGTTCCTGAAGGCCACATAGAATCACCCATAGTAATCAAGGAGGAGTATTTTCTTTTCGTGCTGATCTTTGGTCAAGAAATTGCGAGACGTGTGCTTGCTAATTTTGCCCGGCGTCAAAGTTAACACTCCACGCGCCTTGCCCGTGTTCGTCTTGATTGAACGTGATTGTTTATATTTTCAGGTAGGGGACGCTCTCACGGTCCGCACAAGTTTTACATCCCTGTTGTTCCAAGAAGACATAGCTTTGACGAAAGAATATTTGCTATACCGGTAGGTGGATTATTAGTTATTACTTTTTTCCATTTTGGTGAAATTAAAATCGTTGGGTTTTGCCTGGGTTTATTCTAGTGCGGCCTCGCTTAACGCGAGGATGAGTCATAAAGACATATTTATATTCCTGTGCGTTTAACAGTAACCATCTGTCAGATTCTTGAGCGCAATGTTTGGTTGGATTTATAAACATTTACTGTAGTCACTGTACGTTTATGGAGCCGAGTCGTATTATATTTGACTAAATGACGTGATCCCTCTTGAACAATGCTAATTCCGCTTTGAAACAATATTGCGTGGATTTGTTTAAATTTGTTGAAGTATAAACAGCGCTTATGTTTTTAAAATATCTTGATATTTGTTAACTCAAGAGGCACCAGAGGGGGCCTCAGGAAGTGTAATATCATTCACTTCATTTTGTCGCCGATTCAAAATGTTGGTTGAAAAATCCGGTTGTATCGTACGAAAGAGTGCCATGCATCAGAGAATAACTTTATTCGACCTGCATAGCTTACTCAAATCGCTCAATCTCAAGACTTCGAAGAATTTTATAAATACGGAAATTTTTAGGGTTGCAACTATTTGATGAAAATTATTTGCTAGAAATCGTCATCTGAGTATATCAATATATTGCAACTTTTGGCAAACCAAGAGAGACTCTTGCGCAAACGTTGTTCAGAGAAGCTAGAAAGCATAATGGGTCGAAGACCCGGAAATCGCGGCGCTGTTCCTGATATTTTCTTTTCGATCTTGAGGTGCAAAGTGGCGAGAGAATATTCGGATATTTCTTCTCTCGCCTCTTAATGGCTCAAGCCGTTTTGTGGGGGCGAATATAGAAAGAAACCTCTAGAACTAGGAAATCAGAAACATTTGCGTTATGCAGATTCAGGTAACTTGCTCACTTCCTGTTCCCGAGGTGAAAACCTTCCCCGGGAAATACTTCCTAGTAATAGGAAAATAGGGATGTGCTGCTGGATTGACTATATGGGGTTGCGTTTTCAATAGAGTGACTAGAAGGGGCCTCACATTTTCGAGATTTTGTGGTTAAGAAAATATTTGTATCTAGGAATTATCAAAAAAGTGTGTGAATTCATTTTAGGATGACGCATCTACTATGCTTCATAAGGTAGATGTACAAACAGAAAGTGGCAGTAAATTACATTTGGCCAAAGTGATTAAACTGGGGTCTATAATTGGCCACACAATAAACTACAATGGGGTAGGGATTTTGGGAGGGTAGCGTCACATACCCAGCAAAAATTGACCCTAGTAGCACCCCCTGGTCCACCTCTCCTCTGTTCGGACTAAAACGGAGGGTTTTTTGGCAATTTCTTTCATTTTATATTGCTATTGATCTAGAACGTTAACGAAACAAAACAAACCAAGTCGTTTATGTGCTATTCGTAGGGCACAAAGGTTGAAGGGAGTACTTTAGTACAGCCCATCAGTGCGGTTTTGTGGCAGACGTTAAGTCATGTTTATAGAACTCAAAGTTAACCATCCCAGAAAAATTCTGATTTTTCCGCTGTTATCTGCCCATCATTCCATATTTATTTGCTTTCAGCTCCTATGGTAATTGTTTCTTTTTGCCTAACGGAAACCACATCAAGCATTGGTTTGAGCTAAAAAGTCTTTTATCAGAGCAAGATATGCCATCAGGCATCTGTTTCCTTTGTTTTTTCGCGTTTAAGCCCCAAGGCGGAGTACCTCGTGATAGACAGAGATAAACTTTAGTGTCGGAAAGTGTCGATAAACTTTCTCAGCTGAATTCCCAATTTCTTTGTTTGTCTGATTGTTTTTTTAAGCCATGTATTCATGCTATAGTAAACTGGATCAAATAAACACGCGAACAACGGTAACTTTTAGCCTACGTGACAGGTTCTATTTTTCTAGCGTTGTTTCCCCCCTTGCTCAACTTTCGTCTTCGCTTGCGCGCACGAATGCGGTTTCCAAGGATCACGCATGCGCCCTTCAGGATATCTCCACGCTTTACATTACGTGAAATTGCCGCCCTTCGCCTCAATAGGACCTACCGCGCAGGATAAAAATAAATAAATAAAAAAAAACAGTGGAAAGTAAAAAGTTATAGCCGCCGCTCAGAAATAGGACGAGAGTTCATTTGTGCAGAACTAAGGGAAGTAAGCGACGTGTTCTTGTACATAGTCGATCATATCTCTTTGTGGTTTGTAAACAAAGTTTACTTAATAGTGTCGATAACATCCGTGTCATGGTCTAGTGACTGTTTTGTTAACTTGTCTGATAGCTTGGCTCCCCTTCTCAAATTCATTCTGTGAAATACCTAAAATGCACACGAATTATCACACCGTAGGATTTTTTCTAGAGACTGAAATGATTCACTTCTTTAAGAAGATGTTTAGTTTTCTTAACAGTTTTTTACATTTCCAGGTCATGCGTAAGTGCCCTATTTTAAACACTCTTTCTATGACAATGGAGGGGTTATTTTGATCTATTTTAGTTAAATTTATTCTAAAGAAAAAAAAAGTCACGTCCGTATGTTTTGATTTCCCCTCAGAGTGCGAAAGGAAACTCCGGAGAAAGGTGAGTCTTGCTTTTAATCATGACGTTATTAAAGAAAATGTTAACGACTTTCTTTGCCTAGTATTCCCGTTTTTCATAAAAGCATGTTTTGTTTAGTGAAGTACTGGATCGTGTTGGCTATTTCTAGCAGATATATTGATGTGACGGTTTGCATGCACGCCCTAGCTCCTTGACCTTGTTACTTTTAATAGTAGCCAAAGTAAAAAAATAAATATAATAATTATAATCATCATCATCGTCATCGTCATCGTCATCGTCATCGTCATCGTCATCGTCATCGTCATCGCGAAGGAAAATTCATTTTTTGGTTTAAAATAATCCTAAGTTATAACAGTACCATAAAAAATTTCTACCAAAGAGGATTCATTTGAATGGTAACACTACACTACGCTCGTTGCAGAGAGTATTACAAGAATAAGATTAGGAACTTTGATCCTGATTGCCCACATGTTGCTTGGCCGCAGCATCAGTCATCATAGTCTTTTAACATATCGTCTATAAACACGAGCAGGAGTGTTTTTAAACGTGATGGTACACGACTGCGAGTTTTTTGAACGGCTTCAAAATCTCTGATACGTGCACCAAAATTTGGATTTGGGGTTATTTTTAGCTTGCGTTCTTACGCCCATTAATTCCTAACGCGTGCTACGCGGGTTAGGTTATTTTGGTCCAAAAATTGGACGTAAATTTTGTTTTTTTCTTTATGAGTCATTAAAGAGTTTTTGAATCATAAATTTATATTTTTCCTCTTTTTATACATTAGTTATTCTTTTTAATTGGTTGAATTAGCTCCCATGGTTCTTATATTCCCTACTAGTCCTTCCCGCTGCTCTCTTCATGTTTGTTCTTAATGTATGCAGTGAAAATGGATTAAATTAAATTAAATTAAATTAACCTAGCGATGGACTGGCATCCCTTCTGGGGTGGGGATGTGGGGGTGATGGGGGGAGGGGATAGCAATACTCCTAGTCGCTCTATGCTGCAGAAACCGGGTATAAGCTCCTGCTCCGGCCTGATAGACCCCTTTGCTTGAATGCAGACTGAACCTTACATTACCGTATTTTGCTTGGCAGAAAGCAAAATGCCCGTCGTTCGTGGTCCAAGTTTAGTATTTTTATATATTTCTCTTTTCAAAATTACTTCCAGTTTGCTCACAAGAGAGAGTATCGGAAAAGAAGCTGAGCTTGAAATGAAGCTGGCTATTGTATCAAATGCTTTAATGAAGGTCAGTAGTGAAACTACTAGTTTTTTTCTAGAAGATTCCAATTGTAAAAAAGCATAAGGATGATTGTAGACGTGTCAGTGCGTTTCAAAGCGAGGCTAAGTGCGAAACCATTGATGTGAAAGTGATTTTTTTATTCTCGTGCGAATAAAACTCATTTTCACAGCTTTCTGCCACAGAGGAAGAGATAGGAGTTGTGGTAGATTGGTGCTTGTTTGCCTTGATGATGGCTAAAACTTCAAAATTCTGTTTTGTTGTCCCCATACATTTCCAATAGAAGTTGTAGGGAGAATTTGTTGAAGTGTCTGTTAGATTTATCTTCTGTGATCATGTGCTCAATTCTCATCACCACTCTGTTTTGCAAAGTATTGATATCACATGGAGAAATTTCAAGCTGATCAGTAGAGGGTTTAAAGGGTTTAAGACTTGTCTGTTGTTTCTGTAGGAAGGAGAGGAGAAGCATCGATTGGATTCAGAACTCCGAAAACTACAGAAAGAAAACAAAAGATTGCAAGAAGATCTTCGGACAGCCTCCCACCAACTTCGGAAATTTACCGAGTGGTTTTTCGCGTCGATCGAACCTAGTAACAGGTGATCAACTTTGCGACTGTTCGACGGTAGGAGAATAAATCTCCGGACGGCCTCGTATCAACGTCGGAAATTCACGAAGTGGTTAGTGACGTTCGGTCGAGCCCAGCAACACGTGATAAACTAGTTGCCGGGACTGATGAAATCTTTGTTTTGAAACTGGTTGCGTTAAGAAAGAAGTAAATTAATTTTAATGTATTTCCAAGATAAACACCGAGGAACAAATATCGAAAAAAGTAATTATAATTATGTATCCGTAGTTAAAAGACAGCTTGTGAAATATTGTATTTTTTCTCTTGACAGCCGTTTGATACCATAAAAAATTAGTATACATATATGAAATTTGCTCCTTTTTAAGTATAATTATCTTAGCAAAGTAATCATAACGGAGTGTTTTAATACAATAATGCATTTTTCGAACTACAGATCTTGTGGTGTTCGCTTTGTTATAGTGATCTTTACCGTTTTTGTAAGGGACATGTTTGCATTCTGGACGGGCTACTGGTTTTTGTAAATTTTTTAAGGGAAGAAGTAGTTTGCCTTGATACCAATTTTGTTAAATAGTTGTATGAATTTGAGTTCTATACTGTAAGTTAAAATTTTAATGGTGATCATAGTGATCAAATTTTTCCCTAAGTAAGAATTAAGTGTTGATGTTGGCCTTGGGGAGGGGTAGGTGGGCAGTTTCCCAGAAACGTGTAATGATCCCGATATATCCGCCATCTTTGCACTTGGTCTCTCGGGCGGCTAATGAAAATGGCCAATACGAGCATTCACAGTCTAGTTTGTAAATTATGTCCATTAAAGTATAAAGAACGTCTTACAGTCAAGGAGTTTCAGATGATTAAGTTGAGTTTTGTCGTTTTTGGATGCCAAAAAGATGTCTCCAGAAGAAAGAGACAATGACACGAAAGTCCAGCTGCAAATTTGACTCGACCAGAACTTGTGTTCCCGGATGGAAGGAATAAACCAATTATTTTCAAGAATTCCTCTTCTTTCTGTCAGCTGAAATATGCATAATATATTTTGAGATGACCGTTGTGTTGTAGATGTCTCCAGAAGAAAGAGACAATGACACGAAAGTCGAGCTGTACCTTTGGCTCGACTGGAACTTGCGTTCCCGGATGGAAGGAATAAACCAACCGCGTTCCCACCAATTGAAACAGAGAAACCCTGGGAATGAGGCTGGGAACTAAACGAACTTGACCATGGTTTCCTGTAATAGCAGCTTTCATCTGCTGTCATTCTCCTGGGAGACCACGTGACATTGCTGTATTCCATGAATCCTTGCGGTCGTACAAAGATGGCGGATATAGGTCGTGAAGATAAAGGTCTATTCGATTCATGCTTCACGGAATGTGAAGGTCTTTATAAGCTTCAGTAATACAAGTATAGCAAGTTGTTTTGGTTTTGTTTTGTTTTTTTTTTCATTTTGTTTCGCACTTTATTACTTGCTGCTTTAGGTTTTCCCTACTTTTCTGTTGGGTGTTTATGTCGTTGATAGGTCTGGTCTTACTGAGTTTTGTGAAAAACCACCGTTGTTAGCTGTTAAAACGTTATTTTAGTTCACATGTGAGTTGTTGGGTTGTGTTTAGATAATTTGTTTAAGATAAATGGCAGAATGTGGTTTTCCATCGTTTGAGAATATTGATTTCTTCGCTGAAGGATTCGTTAGATACTGATAGTTCTGTGTAATTTTGTCGGGAAATTCGAAAATCACCCGTTTTGGCCATCTTACATTAGAAAAGCCGAAAGATATTTATATCAAAGAAACCTTTAAACCAAGTCTCACGTCTTACGAACAATTGCTATTGAAGTGTAGAACCGTCTGCGGCTTTTGCTAGCCTTGGTGCAAGTGGATTGCAAATCCAAGAACTTCGCCTATTTCCTATTCCTTTTCTCGTAGCCTGCGAACACGGTATCTTCAATCGTTCCGCGTATTTGAGGTCGTTGCGGGAGTGATGACAAACGGCTGTATTCGCAGGCTAGTTTTCACGTATCGCTAAAAAGTATTCAACCGGCGGCGAAGGTTTTTTCGCCAAAAACTATCATGCACATATTCTCCACACTGGAAAACACTCGTTTTCGTTCCACATTTCATAGTGCTAACAAAGAGAATTTCTATTGTATCTCAAGCTTTGTTGATCTTTGCATTTCGGTGAAGACTCCCCTTCTGCGCGATTGACTAGTGGTATTTTAAGGAAATATTAGATATTGATCACTGTTAATTATCAAATGGTTTAAAAAAATAAAAACTAGTTAAATCTCTAATCAACCTTGTTTAATGACGAATCGATGACTTGTTTTAATCCTTCGAGTTCCACTATTATCGTCCAAATTCTCATTAGCAGTCGTATGAATCTCTCCCAGGGAGAATTTATTGGAAGTTGCCATTTTTTGTTACTTTCTCTATTCATTTGTCTCTAGTATTTGTTAAAGTGCTCGTAACGTAAAAATTGTTATTCTTTTAACTATTTAACTATTCTTTTTTACTACAAGAACCTCTTCTGTTTTAAGTGCTGGTCACTTGTTGGAACTTGTGGGACTGAAATATAGCCTAGTAATTCCTACGTGGACTTATCAATTAAAATTCGTTGCTTTAGCAGCGGAGTTTGTATACTAGTGGTTAAAATTTTGTAAAAGGTCTATTGTATGCTTGTACAAAGCGAACTCTTAAAGAACATAAATAAAGGAAAGTTAAAGTTGTTTTGTAGCTGTCTGAACCTTCCCCGGGCGAATAACTCGATCAACGTGGGAGGAGGGTACTTTTTTCAATTTTAGACATTGGTGTGACGCTAGGACTCCACCCTCTCTGGGTGTTTTAAGCTGCCTCAAAATTTTACCATTTTTGGGACATTTCACGGTCAATGAATACCTTTTGTTAATTTTACCTTGCTCAGGGAATTTTTTATTTCTTCATGTAGTTATTCTTTACTAGACTGCTTGGAGTCCGCCTTTTCTCTTAAAATCCGTCCAATTCTTATCCAAGCCAGCGCGGTTGCAAACAACAACGTTACAATACGCGTGGAGCAACTTTTCAAAGAGAAATAGGAGACTGCTCGCAATCTATTCTTCACTGATTCTTTTCACTTGGTGCACCTTTCTGTTGTTCGAAAATAGAATTATTATTTTAATTTTTTATTATTATTTCTTTCCAAAAAATGGACGAACAGGCCATTTTCGAGTTGCCTGAAGCCTCTGTTTTAAAGCGAGGTTAGGGGCGAAGCTATTGACATGAAAATGACTATTTATTCTCATGCAAATAAAACTCATTTTTCACAGCAAGGGTTTTGCACTTACCCCCTTTTTGAAAGTTAGGGCCTGTTTACATGGAGTGGGGGACCCCGGTCTGGTGGGGCTGGTTTCTTTTGTTTTCACGCTCTGGGGGACACAAAACAAAAGAAACTTACCCCACTAGACCGGGGTCCCCCACTCCATGTAAACAGGGTCTAAGAGTTTTTGGAACTCGGAAATGGCCTATTATACAGTCCCATTACAAAATACAATTCGACACAACACGCCCACCCAGTCTCAAGTGGTCAATCGAGCACTGCGTCCTTACCCCACACCCGAGGGGAGTTTTGTTTGTAGACAATCTTTCTCGACCCACCCCTGGCTGATCCAAATTCTACCACTCTTTAAAACACGTGCATATGCTGTTTATCTGGCACGCATAACCTGTGGTTTTGAAGGTCTTGATATTGGATTAGCAGCCACTCGAAACAACAGAATATGAGGTAGGTCTAAGTTTATTCTATTTGTTGGTGGAAATCTATTGTAACGGAATTCATCGACCGCTGAGTGTCGAGGGGTGCGGAATTCTTGAATTGAAGCCGTTAACTAATGCTAAATGTTCGGTAAAAATACAATATCTCGTAAAAGCCAAAGAAGTTCAAACCAGCCAGAAATGTTCACAAATTACGATATGTCAACAACATAGAAATAAGAACCCGTTCGTAATTACTGTTTTACGATTTGCAGCAATAAGAGAATTTTTTGTCGCTGTTGCACGTTAACTCTTAAATTTTGTCGACCTCATTATTATGCAAAACGTGCAACTTTAATCTAATATATGTGCTGTTTCCACCATAAGGCCCCGTGCAAATGGACGTAACATTGTTGGCCAACAACTCCCAACATTGTTGGATGTTACATGTTGCGTCCGTTTGCACACCCTGTTGCATGTTGTTGGATGTTGTTGCGTGTTGTTGCGCAAAGTTTGAACCGGTCAAACTTTTCAGCAACTCCCAACATTTCTTTTGTTCCGTGATCGCTGAAGCGTAGCGCAACAATGTTGGATCCGTTTGCACAGCTCTTGCAACATTGTTGGGGTCACGCACGCGCATTACGCATGGTTTACAAAGACTTATGGGTTGTATCCTTCCCACGATGCACTGCAGGTCCCAACATTGTTGGGAGTTGTTGCATCCGTTTGCACACCACTGCCAACACTCGCGCAACAACTCCCAACATTGTTGGCGCAACAATGTTGGGAGTTATTGCGTCCGTTTGCACTCAGCGTAAGCTCGGTGGATAGCTCGTTTGGGAGGAGCACTGGGGGTAAGCCTATTTCTTTTTGGGGGCTTAATGACAACTTCTTACTTCCGTGCATATAACTGCGTATTGAATATCTTTATTCTACAGTTCCATGAATATAATATATTTATGAAACTGCTAAACTTTATCAGGTTTTAGACCTCATGTATTGTTTTTATGAGGTAAATAAAACTTGTTTCAAGTTAAACCCGATCCCTGATTTCTATACCCACTCCAGGTTAATTCAACTCATTTACTGTATTAAAATCGTCAAGTAAGCTCTTTTAGAGCCAATTTCACTTGTATAGATATAAAACATATGCCCATCCAGCTACTATGATTCAAGACTAGTGAGAGCTCGAGGGACTGGTCGCTTGCTCGAGAGATAATGATGATGATGATGGTGGTGGAGCGGCAGCCATTTGGCCTATAATCCAACGTTTTCCATTTTTTCCTTCTTACTCCTCCATTTCACACTTAAGTCTCTCAAAATACAAGAAGCCAAGAAGACTCTTCTGGCAGATAAGGCCGCAAGTAAAAAGAGAACAACGCCCCATGCACTGAAATGCTTGACCGTTTTGGGTTCAAAAAATCAAGCGTTAAACATCTCTTCCTGAGTTACTGCTTTTTTGTGTGTCACAGAAAACCGTCAATCATCAAATGACGTGAGTCAATTTCTTATTTAGTTTTTAAGAAACTTTATTTTGTCTACTTTGTGTTCTCGAAGGTCTTCTAAGAAAGCTGTGTAATTTGAACATTGTAACTCTTCGATCTTACAACTCATGAAAGCACAATGCAAATGGTAGTAGTGCTGGTCACTTGGGGAATCTATTTTTAGAACAATGTGACCAGCATTACTACTCAAATGAAACGGTTGAAAGCAGTTGCATCGATATATTTGGTAAGATTATTTACATTTATACTATTTGAATAATAAAGCTAGGAAAACTAACCTTGAACCTATGTAGATAACTTTTAAAAAGGGTTGTAAGGAATTTGGGAGAAAATGGGAAAACAAACAAATTACGCAGCAAAAACCCCTCATTAACTCCGAGCCTTGACCAGTTATTTCAGTGTTTATGCAAGGCAAATTTTCCTATGATGCTCATAGTGTTATGATTATACGATTTACGACAGGCCTTCAGGTTGTGATAATATATCCCATTCTTAATGCCCGGCCAAATTTAACGTCATCCAGCATGTTGATGGTTCAATATTGCTGGAAGATGTTGAACATCGTTACCTGACAATTTGCAAAAAAAAAATAATAATAATGTTCTCCGACCTCTCCAGGCAGTTTTCAGTAGAAAGCCGTGAAAAACTGCCACATTGGCAAAGTAAATATTTGCGGACCAATCACGACACAATCGACACAGTCTAGCCAAGGAACCAATCAGAACAGCGGAAAGCAATTATTGAAGGCGCCAGGTGCCAAGCGCGAGAACTGACGTGTGTGAACAAGTCGTACTTGGGATTGGTCTTTATTATATACATACTGAGAAATACTCACCAAAAAGCTATGTCGTAAATTTTCGTACGCAAATTAGTTATAGCCAATCAGAGGAGCGAACGATGGTTTTCACACGTGAAAAAAACGATACGTCCAATCAGAATCGCGAACGATGTTTTTTCACGTGTGAGAAAAATGATACGTCCAATCAGAAGCCACAGAGGTGTGCGAGTTTCGCGCCAAAATTCCCGCCTTTTATTGCAGCTTGCAGCGCCGCTTCGCACACATTTATCAACGAGAAAAGTTTTACTCAAGGAGTTTTTCTCGCTAAAAAAGTGAAAAACATTTCGGAAATGGAGTGGAATAGTTTCGTTTGTTTCACTGTCGATAAAAAAATACGGTAGAGAGCCGGCGAAACAACAGCGGAAAGGGATAAACAGAACGAGACGTAAGCTTTTGTTGTGCTTTTTGTCGGAGCTACTTTGCCTTTCATTTAAGCTTAAGCTTATATTGAAACCGGCCATTTTACTTAAATTCACTCATTTTCAATTGTGCATTGAGAACAAACAGTTAAGATTACTTATAGTTCTTGGATTAAACCTCATATCCTCACCGTCATTTATGTTTTTAACAAACGTTTTTACTAAAAAGCTGATACTTCGTTTTCGTTGTCATTTTGCGGTAAGTGTGTAGCGGCAAATTTTAGCATTTTTGAAAGATTTAAAATAAAAAGGCCCGCAAAATGATGAATGACTCAGTATGTATATAATAAACACAATACCACATGGAAAGTGCTTTGTACGGTATTTACGCACTCGTTGTTTTTGTATCAGAAATCTTACTCGTTCGCTGCGCTCACTCGTTCGATTTCTGATACGTCAACAACTCGTGCGTAAATACCGTACGCCAGCACTTTCCATGAAGTATTCTCTATGTACCTGATTGGTCGAGTTGGCAAGATATTTTCCAGCCATTCACAAAGCATAGAATAGCAAAAGCAAAGCAATCACGAAATTACTTTGGCCACTCAATTGAAATCTAATTAATGAATTTTTAAAATGCAATGAATAAAAATGAGCACTAGTATTATAACAGTGGCGGAAGAAATCGTAAACATCGGCCCGAGATTTTAAGATTAAGATATACTACACCCGAGCAAGGCTCTTTTTATTTTTTTCAGTATGTTATTTAAGAAAACTCGCATTGAGACAGGAGACTATGAAATAAGAAATAGACGTCTTTAGCTTGCTGTCTCCCAATATAAGTCACGTGATGTTCTCAAGCGGATTCGTTCTTTGTCTTGTAACTAAGAAGTGTTTTTTCTAGTTTTCTTGAGTATCATCTCCTGGTCTACATCTGGAAACTTACGGCGCGTGATTTTAACTATATCTGATATTTACAACAAATGGCTTGAGTGACCTTATTATCTTTAACATCGCCCCACGTTAACTGCAACCTTACTTTGTTCTTCTTTGAAACCTTCCTGTCCCCTACCCCCGCGCCCCCCGCATAGCTACTTGGTTCCAAGGGCTTTTCCCTCCGAGATTTGGAGGGGCGGAAAGGAGCGTGGCGCTAGAGCACGTGGATAGCGACCCCTTGCTATTGCAACAGTTTCATGATTTCAACTTTGAAATGACATTTCATTAATCGCTAATGTACGAGAAGTTTTCTTAGTGTCTGCATGGACGTGTGACCAGCCGATGCCACGGCCTTTTTCCGCCCCTCCAAATCTCTGAAGAAAAAGTCAGCAAATATGTGATATTCTTTGATCTGCAAATTCTTTCTCTGCTTTTAAAACCAAACCCGCTGCTAAGAGGAATATTGAGGGCTCTTTCGCCTTAACCCCTTTAAGCCCTAAGGGTGATCAGCATCAAATTTCTCCTTGTAATATCAATGCCATGTAACTCATAGTAGTCATGAGAATTACGGACATATCAAACAAGATGAATCTGCTTGATATTTTATCAACTTCTCCACACTACTCTTGTAGAAAACGAATAGCGGCAACAAATGAGAATTCAAATTTTGATCTTAGGGTTTAAAGGGTTAAAAATACGCAGCCCTTATCTGCAGGATAAAAAATCTAAAGAAAATTACTGTGCAACCTCTATCGTACTAACAGCGACCTCTCTACACCAATCACCTCACCTTAGCTTGCGGTTAAAACATCAGGGCAGATTTAGCAAAGACAACGTGAAGATAGTGGCGACAGTGCGCGCGCAAATCTGAAAACCTACTTGACCAATGACAGCGTGGCAATTAAGTACCGGAAGTCGCGTTCACTCCTACGCGCGTGCTACGTTCTCATTTGACGCTGGATTGTCTTTGCTGTATCTGTCTATAACCTATAGGCTTATTTTAACCTCCCTATAAAGACTGCCACACTCCTAGGAACTAGTGCCACTTTTTCCCGAGGTGATCGTTGTGGAGAGGTTGTAAGGCCGTGCTAGTGCTGTCCTTAAATTAGTACAGTTCACATGCTTCTCACATGCTTCTCATATCTCCTCCGCTAACTCCCATACCCATCACATTAGAGTCACCCGCCCCTAACTGATTTCCATTTCTGCGCTTCAGTTCTTCAAGTTTCTTGTTCCAGGCGATGTAGAATCGCTGCACTTCATTCATCATGGCTTCCTCGATCTCGGCGCACTGCATCGCTACCAGGCTTTCGTACGAAGTCTCTGGTGTCACGATTCGTTCCACCTCTGTACACAAATAAACACGAAAAAAACTTGGTAAGAAAAGGGTTTTTCCTCAGGAATAAAAACGCTCTCGCCAAGTATCGATGGTGGTGGCGCGAAAGAACGTTTCGAAAGTGGAGAAGAAAAAGTCAGAGTTGACCAGCGGCAGTGAAGGCAGCGAAAAGAGGAATTTTCCGATCATCACTCACAACGCGATTTCTTTTTTTTTCTGGACATCGTTCGAGTCTATTGTTCAAAATTTACAGAGTTTCAGCGTGAAAATTTTCTGTTGGTAGTGTGACACTGAAGCTCCAAAGCCATATATTTTTTAAACACAGACTATGCTGCTTAGCAGTATTCACGTGCACCCCTACTGTAGACTTGTAACTTTTTAAATTCCCATCTACTCGTTGTTAAAACAATGCTTTTCAGTTTCTCATAGTCACTGTACATATAAGAGTATCCACTTCCCCTCCTTCCCAGCTCCCCGCCCCCCGGGTAGAGTAACTATTGACTCACCAGTTTTAGCTTCCTTGGGTTGACGTGGTCTCCAGTAAGCAAACTCCCAGATGAGCCCACAGATGGTCAGCAAGCCCACCAATCCTATGCATGTGTAAATGGCACTCTTGAACATAGGTGACTCCGCATCGAACAAATTGTTGGTCTTTTCCACGGCTGCACTCGCCTCCGGATCCTAACAGAAAAATGGGATACCATAGAATCCAATTGTTTTAACTGAACTCTGTTCTACTGAAAATACATTCTAGACTGTCTACAGTCTCCTATTCTTCGCGCGCCTACCCTTACGAGCGGCCAGCTTGGTTTCAAATGTAAGGAGTTAAGCCTGGAGATGACTATCAAAGATATATACTTAGGGTACTAGGGCTGGGAGGAGGCGAGAAAAATAGTGATATTGTGGGCAGTCTCTCTAGCCTAATAAACCCCGGGGCTCGGCTCTCCCTCTCGGTACGTATGAAACTAAGCTTGTCACCCGGAACGCTATAAAAGCACTCGATCTCGACTGAAAGGGCCAGGCTGTGTTGTGTAAGTCAAGTAGATTCGTGCTTCAAGTTTCGGTTCTGAACTACAATATTTGTGCTCACCTGCCCCTCCCCCAATTCAAAGTTAACACAAAGTTCTCACTTAGGGAAAAATGTTGGTTCAGGGGAGGGGTAGGTGGGCAGTTAGACAGCCAATGAGATCATACAGCCGGGGCTAAATTTTCCCCAGTCGTCTCTCATTATTAGTATTAGCTAGTATTTGGCGTGGAAGACTAGAACGGGCTCTTTAACGAAGGGGATAATTAAGGAGTAGAGACAACTAGACGACTCGGGACGAGTAGCAGCCAGGGGTAGTTTCGTTTTTCAATAAATATGGCGGATTGGAAAAAGAGAAGGCCTTCGGGACGAGGTTAAATACGAGGCTGGCAACAGTTGTGGCAGTGATTCGACAGGATGATATCACAACTTCCTCATTACCTCCATTGTTTGCGCGCTCTTCTGAATAATCTCAGTGATCTCAGTTTCCATGCTGTTTAACTTCTTCCTTATGCACTTCTCCGTTGCGTCTTTTTGAAGATCACCAGTGATCACAAAGCCATATGCAAACTGATGATCCAGTACAGTTCCCACGCGAAGGTTGTTGTCTTTTAACACTGGATTTTCCCCATTATTTGCCCAGTAGCCCGCGACGTAACTGTCTAGAAGAGCCCCGGTTATTTTACTTTGCACGTCTGTTACCGCATTTTTCAGTTCCTCGACGAAGTTCTTTTCTGAAACAAAAAGATTGTTTACCTTTAGATATCCCAAAAAAATTTTTTGATTCGCCCCAAATTATAATATTTTGGCAAGATTAATCGCTAATTTTTTGACGTCCTCTATGAAGGTGATATAAATATTATGGGATATGACACTGCTGGCAAAGTCTCTTACGGTAATTTGCCTCATTTGGCTTCACGGGTGAAACACTGATCTCTGGCTGGAGAAGGAAAGGTAATCAATATTGAGAGCTTTGATCTGGGCGGTAACGAGTCTCTGGCCTCAGAAAGTAGGATTTAGGGGTCAAATCTATTCGGTGAGAACAAAATTGATGCTAAAGGTTTCCTCATGGATGTTGTTATCTATTACACCAACCTGTGACTTTGGCATTGTTTCTCACGCCAAGCCTTTGCTCCTCTGTGTTCTTCAGAGCAACAACCTGATGAAAAAGATACGGTACACCAAGCCAGTGAAAATATAGGAAAAACTCAAACAGAATTAGGTACCAAGATATTGAGGTTTGGTTGGGTCAGTCAGTTTTGTGCCAAGAGGAAGGGGTGGGTGATGTGTTTTTTTAATCCACGTCATTTCCAAATGCTATGGCTCCTTCCCTATATAGTTTTTTAACAGTAGCTTACACTAAAGCCCTAGTGGGTAATCGTGCATAGCGCGAAGCGGAGAGATCAAAGGCAGTGGCTAGCCACGCCCTCTCCCATGGGCTTAACATAAAAAAAGGTGACCAGCATTAATTTTCTCCTAACAAAAGACATACATTGTCAGAGAAGGTTAAGGGAATTGGCAAAATGATCACTAAAGAGAAATTGCTTTGATCTTTTATCAAATTCTCTCAACTATTTCTTTGAAGAAATGTATGGAGATCAGTCCGGAGAATTTGTATACGGATCCTGGGGTTTAAAGGGTTAAAAGACTGAAGATGGCTCACGTCTGATCCGTAAAGTTTGATTTCGTTGCTGAGGGATATGGCTGTCAGCGACGTTGTAACTGTAGCAGTGAAAATGGAGATGATAACGAGGCCAATAAGAACCCATATGAATGCAAACGTTCGCGCCAAAACTGAGCGAGGAGCGCGATCACCGTAACTGAAAGAAAAAGAATCAAAAATTAGATGGAGCGCAAGCTCATTATTTATCACCTGCGAGAATGAAAGACTGTAAATTTGCCACTTCAGAAAGGAGGAGGGGTCACGTTAACTTTCGCAAAGACTTCTAGAACTGTTATTAAGAACAGGAGAGAAATTGTAGAACAGTTGACCGGCGCGTTGTCGGTAACGATCACGGAAACAATTGAATTACACATTTCAGCTCCATTCCCCTTAGGGACGGACCATTAGAAAAGTTATGGGGGGGGGGAATTTTCGAGCGCAGGAATTTTTTTCGTTATCAAATTCCTTGTATGAATTTTTTTCAGGCCCTTGCATGAATATTTTTTAGGATTAATTGGCGTGCAAGAATTTTTTTTGCACTTCGCTCGCCCCCCCCACATAAGTTTTCCAATGGTCCGTTCCTTATCACTTTTAAATTGGCAAATGATCGTGGCTCACAAGGAAAAATAGTAACTGGGTCAAATGAATCTACAGGAAAGTCGACGCGAACGTACCGCCTCTTGTACATTCGACTCTCTCAAAAGGAAATCTTTTAATGTCAAATTATACCCTGCAGCATTTACCACTCTTGTTTTAATTCACAGAAAACGATGAAGAAATGCACAGAAAAGTAAAAAGCGCCATGAAACATTTTTAAGGGGGCGGTACTCATTTCTTTTCCTGACTTTGTTGCTTCGTCACTTCTTTTGCTTTCTTTGTAAACCGGTCATGATAACGACCGTAAAGCATAACAAATGTTCCTACCGACCGGATTTTTTTATAAGCGCAGAAAGAGTAGTTTACTTACTACCAAGCACCAAAAAAGGCAAGAATTGTGTAAACGGATCAACAAATGTAGCTTACCCAACAGTAGTCATGGAAACGAAAGCCCACCAAAAACCTTCCCATGTTCCTTTGAAAAAAGAGCGAGGAAACTCCTCCGGGTTCCAGTAGGTATCCTACAAACAGAGAAGAAAGCGAAGTATTTATTTGTTTTATTATCATTTTGCCATTTAAGTTAAATTCCGTATTTCCTCGAATGATACTTTGCTTCACTGCAGTAAACATTACGTTTAACACACTTACTAGAGCCCAGACCACTATTCCTGAGAGTGCGGCCATGATCAGCGTGAGCAATAGAACAGGCCACCCTTGGAATACTGCTTCCATGACAGCTTTAGCGGCGTTTGAAGAGTCCTCCTTCTTTACGATGAAAACGACCCCGGGGGACTCCACAACAGGGTAAAATGGGTGATTCTGGAAAGTTATGTCTTTCATGTCGCCATAGATAGGCATGCTCATCACGGTGCCTTCAAAAGAAAAATAAAATATTACGGTTTCTGTCAGGTTTTCGCGAATAACTACATTAGCACCATTGCATTTTTTCCATGGAGGATATGGTAGCTCCCAGCAAGGAAAGGAATTTTACTGCACTCCTCACCAAACACAGGACCAGGATTGGCAAATGTTAGGTCAGCTTTTCACCGAGATCAAAACGCTTGCCTTTATTAATTGGAGTTCGTGTGACATGGCGAAAAAGGGACTCGATGACATGATAGATAGATGATAGTTTTTTACCTGCCTAGTTCTTCTAAAGAAAACCAAGGAAGAAATCGTTTGTGTATGTCGAATACGTCACATATTAGGTAGAGCTCCCACTCTCTCTTCCTTCATGCAGCAAGTGAGCAATACTGAAATGGATCTTACACTACACGCCGGTGATATCATGGCTTGAAACGAGCCAAGAACAGCTTATATTATAGTTTCCATTCATTTCTTTCTCCTCAACAAAGTAAAAAGTATGGTCACTGTTGGGCAAATCCTATGTGAAATGAGCTACGCTGCTTTCAAGTAACTTTTTGCTAGTTTTCAGAGAGATAGAGAGATGATCTGGTACTTAAGTCTTATGGCATAACTTAAGAGCTTTGTTAGTTATATATAAAGCTACAAGAAATCTGGAATCCCACTAACGATTAGAATCCGGACCAAGAATCCGGAATCCACGGCGCGGAATCCAGAATCCAAGACTGTCTTGAATTCCCTTACATGGGACGAAAACTATAATCAACTCAAATTAAGAACAGATTTTAGTTGAGTATTGAGCCTTATTTCGCATTTGGGGTGGCATTGCTGTTGTGCCATGAACGTGCTTTGTGATGGCCTATGAAAATCATGCGCCAGATTCTCAGCCAGTCAGAATCCAAACCTCGACCAGTCGTAACTTGCTTGCGCCACAAGTTCCCGCGCTCGTCACTGACTGATGTACTTGCTTCAGGACATGATTGGTTCATTGATTACCCATGTGCATTATGATTGGTCAAAGTAACTAATTCCGTAAACACGTCATGAACTTTGCAAACGCGTCTTCCCACGTTTGCCGTTTTAGTTTATCTGAATTATCGCCCTTGCTGTGATCGGCTAAAATAATTCAGACTTTAGTTGTGATGTTACGTCACACAGCTAAAAACTACCACAAAAGCCTGCTTATGTACCGTTCATGTTGATATGTTTCTTGACAACTTCGGAGTCATTGGAAGGCACTTCACTGTAGTTAAGCTTCACGCAGACTGGGACGTTATCCGGCTCATTTTGATCCGGATCTTTATCACAGCATTCTCTCACCAGTTTTTCCAAAACCTGATGGAATATACCTTTGACCTCGCCTTTCTCGTTTTTGTAGATATAGGGGGGAATCTCCCACCAGTCTATCTTGAGCGACAAGGGACATCTCTTGTTAACTTGTGTTTCGCATGCTGGCATAAAAATACAATACAAAAACAGAGATTGATGAATATGATGCAAATATTCAATGAAGAAGTGCTGATGTTTTACGAAATAATAATCATTTATGAGTTATGTGAATAATCTAATTAAGCAACTGTGTATGAGCTTGGAAAAAAAGCATCATCACTTCTAGAAGGAGCACTTTAAAATCAGAAACTTTGTTAAGTTTGGCAGTGGTCTATAGACGTTTTTTTACATTTCGAAACACTCTTCAGACTGAATACGAGGTTAACAGAAAACAAAGAGAATGGAATTTCACCGAGGTCCAATGAAATAAACAAATCAATAAATAAACAACTGTGAATGGCAAGAAATAAATGAATTTCATGATAGTATTCAAAGAGTAACTTTTCGTCTTCTATATCCTAGATCAAACTTTGGAATTTTAGAAACATTGGCTTTTGGGGGAGGTGAAATTCGGAGTGCATGCTGAATAAAACCTCATGGAGCAAGGGCGACCAGAACTAACGTCAAACCCAAACCTCATCAGATGATGTCGCTGTTTATAAGGTAGTTACGTCTGGGTTAATTTGTCAGAACTGTACATAGGGTGTTGGTTAAAGAAGGTCCGAATGGCTGGGTACCCAGCGGTTGGAATTGTTTCTAAACTGCAAGGAACTTTGCGCAAGCAAACAGTGCGAGAAAAGAAGAATCGGATAAAGTGCTTCCCTGCCTCTTCTCATTCCGCTGTTCCCAAACCTGTCTCTTTACCAACCACTCGATTTAATGTGCAACTGATGCGTCCGTTTATCTTTTTGCTTGATATTGTACTTGTCAAGGTCAGGATTGATATTCGTGAATAACAAATCTTTTCCTTATAGGACAGGCCTCGGCTGTTCAAAGGCTAGATAGCGCTATTGACCGGATAAATCTCTATCCAGTGGGCTTTAGTGCAATAATTATTAGTTTCCCCGATACCTATCCCTGGATAGCGCTATCAACGTTTGAAGAACCGGGGCCAGGTGTTTAAAGAACTAAAGAGACGGTATGAGACTTGACTTAACTTGGGTTCAAAGACATAACGTGAGAGCTTTGTTAGAAAATACAACCGGGAATTTTAGTTCAGATCATTTTGAGCGCTATAGGCAGTTCCTAAAATATCAGTATATTAAGGAGAAGTATTTAATTGGGCGTTGAGAGTAATTTCGTGTTTTAGGTGGTATTGACCATGTTGTGCAGCCATGACTTTGCTTTGTGATGGCCTAAGAAAATCTTGCGCCAAATCTTCATCTAATGTGCAGCGGATGCGTCCGATAACTTTCTTGTTTGATACTGATTGTACTTATCAAGGTCAAGTTGCACATTCGTGCGCATTTTCAGTTGAACAACTTCTGCTTTAGTTTATTTACCTAACAATATTGATTTATCCGTCCTCATTTTAACCCTTTCACTGCCAAATGTGGCCAAAGGCAAATTTCGACCAAATTTCCAAATTTCATTTTCTAAAATTTTGACAAACAAATAGCATCATGTGAAAGTACAGGCAGAGGGCTTTCATTTGAATGGCCACATCATAGGATTTGGTCCACAAACTCAAAAGTTAGAGTTACCTCACAAAACTCTATCAAACAATCTGGCAGTGAAAGGGTTAAGCTGCGCATAGGTTAGAGTTCTTTCCTCTTTTCGCGCATTTCTGCTATTAACCCTTTAAGCCCCGATATCCACATACAAATTCTCCAAACTGGTCTCCGTACATTTCCTTAAAGAATTAGTTGAGAGAATTTAATAAAAGATCAAAGATTTTTCTCGTTAAGATCATTTTATTAATTCTCGTAGACTTTGCTCTTGCCAATCTGTGAATATCGTTAGGAGAAAATTGATTTTGGACACTATTGTGTCATAAAGGGTTAAAACAAAGGTTACGGTTTATCCCGATTTGTTTCTTCACCATCTTTTAATTAAGGCATGTTTCATCCTTTCAGAACAAAGAGGATGAGAACGATTAGTTCTCTTACACGTCAATTATGCATAATTTATAAGGTAAAATACGAGAGCAAATTTATAACAACTTATATTGCAGATTTACATGGATACAATAAAACGCCCACGATTCCCTGACAAGCCTAACTTAGCTGGAATATTCCAGAATGCATTCTGAACTCAAGCTTTCTTTGATAAATTAAAACTTTGAAAACTATTGCAGCTTTAGCAGTAAGAGATTCATTAAATTCTCGCAATGGGATGGCACAAGACTAACTTTAATCACTCAGCTTTCTGTACATGTCATGAGTTTTTTTCTCCCGGGTATCGTAAAGATATAACCGAGAACAAAAAAAAACTATCAAACGTAAAGTAAAATTGTATTTTATCTCGTTTCTTGTCAGAAAAAAAGGCCGTTTATCTCAAAACCCCCTCAGAGAGAGGTTAAAGATATGTTTAAAGTTACCTGTAGTGTGGCAAGAGTTCGAGGATATAATCTCAGCTAATAGTCAGTGGTTAATTCTTAAAAAAATTCGACTGGAAATGATTCTTACCCGTAAACTGTAATTGGAGTCGCTAATTTGAATCAGTTCCTACGTCACGAAAGATATTGAGATAAATTCATGGTATCCGATGTTGAAACAGTTATTTCCCGTTATGCAGTTTACATGAGGATGTTCTCCGTTACCGCAAATATTAATTATTAAAGAGAAAATAGGATTTCCTTGAGACTTTGAGCAAGTCATTACCTAGTCAGTATTCTGAAACTTAAATGATTCGCTGAATCCTACATCGAAAAATAAGTCTGAGGCAGTAGTTTCTTTAAGAACTAACCTTTTCAGGACTTTGAACTAAAATCCATCTACAGCAAATTAAAGTTATTGTCAGAGTTTCAGAAAAGTCATCAAGCCATGGCGAATATCAACAATTCAATTTTTTTTTCGAAAAGGAATTATCTGTATTTCAAAAGCGCTTCATAAATCTCTATTCTCTATTTCTATTACACGCACGGCTATCCCACGTTACCGACGTAAGCTCAATTATCCATCGGCTGGCCGGTCACCTGCACAGCGAAATATATCTTGTATATTTCTTTAGCGCATAACACAAACGTATCAGATCTAGAAAATCGACATATTTCAATCGAATCTAATGCTATCCTGCACCATAAATTTTCCAGAAGCTTTTTGATCGAAAAGTTCTACTAAACACTTACCGCCAGTCGCATTGGTGGCGTTAGAGCTCGCCAGCGTTTCCCAAGCTCTGCTAATAATCACCAAGCACAAAATAGAGAGCGCGGCATTGAACGATGTGCCAGTCATTTTATGACGGTAATGTTGCCTTAAAATCCTCTTCGGCGTTACAAATGTTAAATCTCAAAAGTTGGAGTCAAGAAGGCTTTTGTTTTCCGGTTTTATCGTACTGCTAACACCTTCGTACTTAGCCTTCATACGCGACTTTGACAGCAGCCATTGCGAAAATGCAAATTTCTACAAATTCAAGTTTGTCGTTTGCGCCATGGAGATTAGGATCATTTATTATTAATAACTGACACAACGAAGGCCTGTTTATTTCGAAAAAACTCCCCTTTGGGTTAAAGAATATATTTTTAGATAGCGTTCTAAAATATTTTCGGTTAAAATTTAGAAAAGGAAGAGCCAAGCTATTGAATAAGAAACTTTAAATGTGGTTGTGCTGGTTTGCGCGCATGCGCGAGACATTCATTGACAGCTGCTGTATTCGGCTGCTTAGAGACGCAAATATACTACATTGTCAGCTCTCAAAAATGCAAATGTATATTTCAATACACAAGCCAACATACTGTGAGGCAAGCACGGCGAAACACGTACGTAGAAAGAACTGCTTGCGATCATATTGCAGTTATTTTCCATAAACACTGATTATTTTAAACCTTAAAAAATATTTATATACAATTCACTTAATCAATAATTAGGGACAAAATTGCATAGAATATTCATCCTTTTTTCTGTTTAACTTGGAGACTTATATGTCAGAGATACACTTTATATTAAGCTCTTTACAATGTCTTTAATTCTCAGACTTGTTTAAATATTGTCAGTCTTTTATTAATAGAAAAGTCAAGGTTTAAAATTTCGTGTTTTGACAGTTACGTAGCATTTCGCCTAAAAATTTTTTAAACACCACTTAGAAAACAACAGATTCACATCTCAAAGTGTAAACCAGATATTGCAGAGAGCGTTTATTAAATAATAATTAAAAACGCCCAATTTGTATTCAATTGGAGCGTGCAGTAAAAGAATTTCAAACTGTGGCTGAACATTCTTAGAATTTATTAACTCTTTAAACCCCAAGATCAAAATTTGAATTCTCATTTGTTGCCCCCATTCATTTCCAACAGAAGAAGTGGGGAGAAGTTGATAAAATATCAAGCAAATTCATCTTGTGTGATCATGTCCGTAATTCTCATGACCACTCTGTTTTACAAAGCATTGATATTACAAGGAGAAATTTGATGCTGACCACTCTTAGGGTTTAAAGGGTTAAAGTTATGGTTCTTGCAGCTTTTTTTTCTGAAGTCATATACATAGAGCTCAACCTTAAAGTCTCAAATGCTAGCTGGATTTAAACGACATTTTCTGCAATTTAGAAAAATGTATTGACGACGAAACGCATACGATGGTCAAAACGTTGTAAAAAATTCCGTTAGAAGTCTCAAAATCTCTGAAATTTTTGTAAAGAGATACTCCTGCAGCCTTTCAACCCTGTTATCAAAATTTAAATTCTCTTCCGTTCCCTTTATGCATTTGCTATAGAAGTCCAATAGAACCTCGATAACTCGAACTCGGATAACTCGCTTAACTCGAACTAAATTTCCTAATTGCCTTGATCAAAATTTCACTGTAGAAGAACCCCGGAAACTCAAACTCTGGAGGGAAACGAAAAACAGTTTGAGTTAGCGGTCCGATAACTCGAATTCCCCGCTAGCTCAAACTGTTTTTCGTTTCCCTCCAGAGTTTGAGTTTCCGGGGTTCTTCTACAGTGAGAGATGTTAAATTATAAAGCGAATTCTTCTTGTGTGATCACTGTTCGTTAATTCTCGTGACCAGTCTGTTCACTAGGAGAAATGTGTTGCTGCTGATCACCCTGAGGGCTTAAACGAACAAGGGAGTGATCAGTCCTAGCTTCTGAATATGTACCTCCGTCTCAAGAAAGAGTAAAAGAAATTTAAAGGTGCCCAGAATAACCAGTCCTGTGGGATTTGAACTCTTTTCTTCATGATCAGTGCAAACGCTTTGTTTTGTTCTAATACATTTGCATAGATGCTAGCCACGTGAGTGAAAACACTCTCTAGTGTGAACATATAGCCTTATAAAGGTCTTTATGAACGTCTCCGTCAAATAAGGCAAGCGCTGCCCCTGACAATTGTTGTAAAAAAGTGAAAATCCAATAAACCAGACCGAGGCGTTTTTTTGATTAAATACGATTAATTTTTTAGCAGTTCCGCCAGTCGAAGGAAAAGTGTAGCCCTGTATACGGGTTTTACCAGTAACATATTCAACTGTATAAAAAGACCACCTCTACAATTCGGACGCTTTCTTCAATGTCCGTATAGAGAGGAGAAGTGCGACGTCACCTTACCATGGTAGCAAAATTTCCTGGATCACAACAACAGGGAGTTTTTGCAACGGCGACGGCGAACAGCAAAAAAGCAATATATAGGTTTTGATTGGCAATAAAAACAACTTTGCACGTGCATCACGTACATTTCTTAACCGTTGTTGCACTACTGCGGCATGAAACTTCCTAATTTCACGCGCCCCCTTTATGGATTAAGTGAGCACAACGCAAAGATTTTATTTTATTTTTTATAAACTTAGTTACTCTTCTTTCGGATTCAACCCAGAAAATTTCTCCAACACTTGACAAACAAGAAATTAAATAAGATCGATGAAGTTTGAAACAGTGCGTATGCTTTTTTTAAGTGACGTTTTGGTTTGTTGCCATCCAGAAATTTTGCTACCATGGCAACGTGACGGAACGACTTCTCTCTATTAACGAGGTTCAATAAACACGTTCAGAAGAACGCTCGCAAAATACAGTTACGCATGAATGAGTCTTATAATGAGGTTTTTTATTTATTATACTTGGCGTTAAAATTACTTTAACCCTTTTACTTCCAGATATGACCAAAGGCAAATTCGACAAAAATCCCAAATTTCATTTTGTAAAATTTTTTAAAACAAATAACACCACACGAAAGTCCTTCCAAAGAGATTTCATTTGAATGGTCACACCACAGGATTTGGTCCAGAGAATCAAAAGTTAGAACTACATACGAAATAAAGTACTGCTGAAGAGGTTTCATTTAAATGGTCGCACCATAGGATTTTGTCCACAGACGTAAAAGTTAGAACCACCTCACAAACTCCATCATCCACTCTGGCAGTGAAAGGGTTAAAAAAGGGACATATATGTCTCATGAACACATTTTATCTTTCATTTTCTATATATTTCTACCAAAAATGCACTCTTGGCATTCAGAGACATCCATATATAATATGAAATTTGAATTCTTTGAAATAAAAATTTAACTAGAGCATACATGAAGTAACCTGTCGCGGTGAGTGACCGTTGAAATGCTTCGATAGTTTGCCTTTATCGCATCAGCGGAGCGAAAATGGACAAAATTTTTTGAATTTCTCGTTCTCATAATATCCAAAAAACTGTACCTAAACAATGAAATCGTTGTATTTTCCTGTTGAGGTATCTTAATGTCGTTGATATTGTATCCAACTAAGTTAAACAATCGCAATGATTATCACACGTATTTTCAAGTATCAAAATAAATGGAAACACTGGTGTTGTATCTTTTTAAATTAATTTCACCACAGGGGCAACATTTCCTAGTTTTGGAAATTCATTTAACCGTATCAAAAAGATGACGCCCCAAAAACAACAGTCAACATATAGTTAACATTTCAAGGTAAAGACGGATTTTATTTAAATCACGGAGTCTAGACACGTAAAACGAAGAGATATTTTACTTGTTGTTTTTCATTTGCTTAAATAGTTGATATTTCCCGGTTTCGATGTGAAACACGATTATTTACCGTGTTGTGTTTTCATGCCATCAAATACAAAATAACACCAAAGGCTACTGGTACCAGCCCTTCTGGTGGTGGAACTATCAGCTGTCTCAGTTCGATGAAGTTTTTGTTTGCAAAACGGAAACCTTAGTCATTTTGTCTCGTTGCCATTTAAAGAACGAGTGCCGATGCCTTAAAGGCGTTTTCAGGGCAATTTGTCAGAATTTGTCGTTTAGCAGCTATAGTCCATGGATGTATTCGCCTCTGCGTTCAAGCTGTACCCTGTTGGTCGTTCTATCAACTTTGGGATTGTTTTTCGTCGTCTATATTCATGTTCGAACCATATCCCTCCCAACGTATTTACATGTCTTTAACATCAACGAAATAGCATTTCCATTGGCCAAAGAACTATCTAGCTATAAAGGGAAGCCGTTCGTGTATCTTGTGCAAGCAGAGAGCTGTCTGTCTCAACATCTGCGGTCATTTGTAAATCTTGAGAGCAGCACCAAACGAGATTTCATAGTGTTAAGCTGGGGACAAGAATGCTTCGATTTATCGACAAACATGAGCGGTGTGATGTATGTAAATTACAGGAATACTACATGGAGCTCCGGAAGAAATATTTTATATGGACTGGCCTTGAACAAAAAAGTCAATTATCGATATTACATTTTTCTTGACGAGGATATAGAGTTTTCCTTTACAGCTAACACATCTCAAGATTTCTACAGCACAGGATCTAAACACCCACTGAAAGCATTTGAAAACTTTCTACTTAGTTACGAACCCGCTGTAGGATTGTGTAATTATTGCAGTCGATGTGGGAAGCCACTAGCAGATGGCTCGTACGTATCTGGTCTTTGCTGCTCTCCACGACCAACTAATGGAGATTTACCGCCACTTCTACCAGTATCTATCTCGTTTGATGCTGCTGTTAACGCCTTTCACACCCACGCGATTAAATACATTTTACCGTACAGACTTGACTATGAGAACATAAGTTGGTGGGAGAGCCAGAAATATGTTATTCTGGCCTCGGATATTTTATTTCGAGGCCAAGTCGTGCGATATACTCCAGTTACGGCGACAAACAACAATCACAACGACTATCCCCAGCAGCTGCTTGACAACTGGGCCGACATATTGGAAGATATAAGAAAGACCACACCCAAACAATTTAAAAATCAGAGCGTTTTCAACAGAGAACCCATCGTCGACATGGTTCCTGAAGTAGTTGGAAATGTAGTGCATACCCTACTGTGGAATCTCTCTATTCCTGAGCCAAAAACTCCCATTATCCCATACAGACACTTTCGTCGATATAGGGAACATTGAATCACCTGAAAATTTCTTCGGATATGTTGTCATCTGAGTGGTAATCTTACTCCTATTAGATCAATCAATTTGATCAAGGGGAAGAACAAAGAGTTACTCCTTTCAATTGTCCCCTGCGCGCTTATTATTTCAGTTTAATTTTGCACATACCAGCAGGAGCCTCTACGAGGAAAGAGATGTCAAAGTTAAGGTTATTGAAAAGGGCAAAAGCAACTTAGCAAACATATGTTCAGGTTATAAATCTTTATGAGGGATGTAATAGATATTAATGGTAAAACCTCGAGAAAGTCCTGAAATTCAACAATTTTGTTATACAGACCTGGAAAGTCATGGAAAACTAAATTTTTGTTTTGTAGATAAGTACTCGCAGATGTCAAAGCAAGGACAATGCAAGTCTAGATAGAGACAAGTAATTAATCAGCGCAAACGAAACGCGAAAACGATTGTCACTTAAAGCTAAAACTTTTTTCGCCCTGTCTAATTTTTCGATTTGAAATGAAAGGTAACATGCCTTTAAACTAATGTTTTATCTTTACTTTTCACGCGCAGCATCATTTTTTATTCGTAGTTATAAAAGATCGCATTTCCTTATTCTTGCAATAAAAATAAAAGCTTTCCATGCAGGGAACGATATTTATTAGCTGTAAACAAAAAAACATTCCAAATCTTTTTAAACTTCCTTTCCTTCTTGAGCTCAAGACAGTGACCGTTTATTTTAAAGTCAATTTTAAAGACATTTCCAGACAATAAATATTTTGTCTCTCTAGCTTGTACAGGCATCTAATCTGATCGCTTAAGCTTCCTTCGGGCTAAAAATCTTTTGCCCGGTGGCATTCCATTTCCGACATACCACTCATGGGTTTGTATATTATTATTTATGGCATCGGAAAGACTGGATGAAGTCGAGCCCATGTCTTCGTCGCCTCCTGCATCACCAGGCCTTGGCGGATACTCGGTCTCCTCTCGTTTATTTTCCCATGCCTTTGGATAGTTGCGCCACCTGCTATTTCCCCATTTTGTTTTCAGGGCTTGAGATTGAAGATCATGGCCCTCTTTTTCTTTTCCGCATCCCTCTTTATACTTTTCGTCACCAGGTCTTGGCGGCCACATCATGTGATGTTGAGCAAATGTCCCTAAGACGAGAAACATTTGTTAACATTGTCCCTATAAATCTTATTTCTAATTTCTTAAAGAGCAATGAAAGAACAGGAGCCCTTCACCTAAAAAGAATGAAAAAATTTGAATTCTACTTTTAACTGATACAACTGTGTGTAACCAGAATTGATAGCTACTTATCCTATTTTCATAATTCAGTTTAAAGCCCGTGTGACTCTGTCCTTCAGTTGTCATAAGTATAGAGAATTGCAATCTTGCAATGTCTACATTTTAATAATCTTTCTTGTTTTAAAAGCATAAGCCTAACTCAATAAGCGTGTAAATCGGTACGAAGCAAGTAGACAAGCTTTGTGTCTGTGCGCTTGCCCGCATTCACGTCTTTACGAGCGTCACACGTATAAATCGGCAGAAGGCAATAATGAGCACAAGTGCAAAAAACAAACAAACAAACCAAAAAACAAAAATTTAGCACTCGCGACTGAACTCCTTTCTTTCTGCCATATTGGATTCTCATTCTAACGTCAACAGTGATGGATTCAGGGTCTGCGTATTTCGTTTTATCTGCTACTAAAACCAGTATTAAATCTTTGAAGGAAACCTTATGGGGTTACCATTCAAATGAAACCTTTCTGGCAGATCTTTTACATAATACTAGTTATTTATTTTGACAAAATAATTTTTTTAAGAACTTTCTTACCTTGGTCTTTTTAAGAGAGAAATGGTAACGCTTATCGCATCCTACGCTTTATGGCCTATACGGGGAGGCTTTTTTCAGGCCTCAGGTACATAAAACAGTAGGGATTTCACTAGATAAAGTGTATGAAAGGGTAGGAAAATCTGTCATTTCGGTCTGTAAAATTACCGACAAGGGCTACAGAAGGATTGCATGGCCGTGAAAAAGGCAAGAAAAATTAACAGTTTTGTGATTTATTCATATTTAAAAGAGCGTGCATTTACAGCAGTTAAAAGGGATTTAAACTAGGTAAGTGAAAGGGCAAGGTGTTGGACTTCAGGGCGGAGGACCCCCGTTTAAAATTTTATTTGAGTACCCTCCCCCCTCTCCGTAGATATCTTCGTGGTTATGCTAGTGTCATACATGTACTCAGTAAACGAGCTCTGAGACTAACAAGAGGAGTTGATTATGACACTGCCAAAAATCTTCATTTATAATACTAGTTAATATCCTGAAAAAAATCAAGCAAAACAACCCAACCCAACACGTCGGTCAGTAATTCGCCAGTTCAACTTTCAAGGGCTTATGTATTTGTCAAGAAAGAAATTACATACAAACAAACAACAGCACGCTGACTGGAGATAAAAACTGGGAAGGAGCCACAATTGAATTTCAACCCCTACAATGTCTAAAACAATAAGATAAAAGTACTTAAATCGGAAGAAAAAAATAGGTAAATAATGGAAATATACGTGTGCACAGTAAGGGTCTGCTACGGGTTTAACTGTCGCGGCCGATAGCCAAAGAAACTCAGCCTGATCTTATCAGTAATGAGCATGTACAACACTTAAACTGTTGAGCACTGGTAGCATGCTTAATAGAATGAAAGGAGACTACTCCATGATATAACTGAATAACGGATTACGGACCTAATAGCATAGAGACCTCACGAAGTTTTTTATAACGCCTCATTAAGATGTCGAGGGATAGTTTGGCTTTACGCACTGAGATGGCGCATGAGCGAAATCTTATTCTGACGGATGACATTTTCTTGAAAGAATGGTGCAGTCTGTATTCACCTGTCGTAAAAAACGACCATGACGTTCAAGGTGGTTATATTTCTTTTCTGTTCCAAATTAGGCCTTCACAAGAAAACCACTTGTTCTTACCTGCAATACATATGAAAATCCCCAAGGAATAGGCAAGCACTAAGCCTGGATTCATAATGTTCGAAGCCGATCTACACGGTGACTTAAACTGCGCAGTGATTTGTACCTAGAATGCTTTACTTATAGATAGTTTTTGTTTGCGTGGTCGGACGGAATAGAGAAATTCTTCTGAATATAAACTAAATACTCGTACAGGAAATAGACGCAACTTCCTAATCAATTTAAAGTTCTTTTCACAAAAAACAGTAGAGTATTTTGCCACAGTACCGTTTTAAAAGGATTCTAGCTTCAGGCGTAGAAAGAGAAAGGAAGGGTTACTCACGATAATCAGAAATATATCTTGCTAAACTTTAAAACTTGAAATTTTATTTCCAATTAACAATTATAGAGGGTGCTTGACATAGTTAGGATCTCTATAAAAAGTTTTCATTTGTACCGCGAAGTAGCCTAAAAAGTGTAAAATTTATGGTACCAATTTTAATACATATAAATTGCATTACACCATGGACACGTAGTTGCTCGTTCGGCGTCATCGTGTATCGTATATTTTAGTTTTTACCGCCCTTAGAGTAAATATAGGAAATAAGATACTCGCAAATTATAGAATTAAGGCTGTTTGAAGAAAGATGACTTAATGGCGTTAAATTGTGACATGATTAATTATTGTCAATGCAAAACATAACTTTATCATTTATCATTTGTCCTTTTGCATCTCTCAAAGCATGTTCATTTATTGCTAAGTGAAAACACTGGAGGCTATTAGAAATTCACAATAAAACTCGAAACTAAAAAATTAATGGAAATTGTATGTATTTTTAGCTCGTGGAATTTGATTGTGTTCTTTATCCCTTTCACTGCCAAATGTGGCCAAAGGCAAATTTCGACCAAAGTTCCACATTTCATTTTCTAAAATTTTGAGAAACAAATAGCCTCATGTGAAAGTGCAGGCAGAGAGCTTTCATTTGAATGGTCACATCATAGGATTTCGTCCATAGAATCAAAAGTTAGAGTCACCTTACGAAACCCCATCAAACAATCTGGCAGTGAAGGAGTTAAAGTAGCGTGGAACCTGAAATGCTGAAAAGGATAACCGCTTAACTTCGAAGGTCTGCAAGACTTAAAGTATCGCTTTTAACCATGCCATGATATGCGTGATAAATAGAAGATTCTTTACAACGTCTGGTCAAAGATTTTGTACGTGAAACTTTAATCACTCTTTCGCGTAGCCGCAACTAATACAAAAGTTAAATATCCTATATTCAAATACAAATCTTATTACTGTAAATTTAATTAAGATTAATTGACTACATATGATAGTTCCTAAGAAAGCTCTATTTCATGTTATAGGCAAAGTGAAGTTAGTCCTTGAGTAATAAAGGTTACACTGAAAACACGAGTATGGATGCCCTTCTTCTTGAAGAATCAAACACCTTAGTAGTTACTTTAAAAGTTAAATTGAGGAACATATATATTTTTTTGACAAAATGGTGGGTTGATGAGGATAAAAGTGACGTGGTTTTGTCTTTAAACTTTGAAAATCTAAAGGACACTCTTTGGTCAAAAGGAAATAAAAAACCCAAAGAGAAATCATAAGACCGTGAGTTATCCTAGCAAAGAAAAGCTATTCATACGTGATTTAAGACAAGCTTTGGTGTTTAGTTTATAAAGTGGTGTCAAGTAGGAAATGGTACTAACAGCTTTCCAAGTACCCTTTTTTATAGAACGGCTTTTGATTACATCTTATTGGTTTCCAAGTATAGCAACTCGTGTATAAGGAAAACATACAAAAAAAATTGTAGCATAAAATATCTAAAAACCCGGAATACTTTTATGCCCCTTTAGGCCAAAAAGCCCTCTCAATTCAGTGTGACAATGTTGGGGTACAGTCCGCTAAGCTGTCAAACGGCTTTTTTCAACGATACGATTTGTTTTAATTTCCTAGCGTTCAAACCACAAAAAATTGAAACAATTTACTTTGTAGAACAAGTTCGACTGTCGTCATTCAATACACCAAAAAAACAAAATCACTTTCAGTTTTATCTGGTTCGTTCATCTTTCTATTCTGGGGTTTGATTCACATTCATATTCACAAACAACTTGATATTTCTTCTTTTCCGATAAGACAACTATACTAACTATTACATAATATCTCCTTTCAGATTTAGTCCTGATAAACTGAATCAGCAGCAACGACGGTAATATCTCTCCCAGATTTTATACTGATAAAATCACTTAAAAAGTCCAGATCCACTAAACTCTATACGCTGAAAAGAGGGGAAGATCGATTTGCACTCTTAATAAGAGTCTATAAATTTTCTGTAAAAGGTCAAGTTTTTTCAGTGGAACTTTGAAAGGACAACCAACATTAATCAAAGAAACAAACAGGCAAAATCAATTTTAGTTTCTCATGATCAGCTTTTCACATTTTTGTCTTGTAGGATTTCGTTCGCAAATAATTGGAATTGTTGCATTTGAGCCTTACCAGAATTATGCCGAGTATTAAAGTAATATATCTTTTCAGAGTCTCAGTCATCAAGAACGGAAAAATGAATTAAAACGCCTTAATAACTATTTTTGACTTTGCTTTTTTTTTTCTGAGGTTGAGTTCATAAATTGACGACGAAAACTTCACTAGTTACTGTAGTAGTCAAATTGAAAAGTTATATTTAACCTATATCTCTCGTTCTATTTCCTGATTAAGTATGCAAATTAAGATATGGTATTTTTTGCGATGTCAATTCCGTCACGATAATTTAGTAATATTGGGATTTATGTCCATGCATATTCATTATTTCTTTATTCCTATCTTTTTAGGGCCTTGTTGAATTCCTTGTTTGGCTTTCGAGATTACACACAGGTATTTAAAAAGAGTTTTATTGAATTTCTTTTTATCCTTTTAAACTTGCCGGAATAGTTTGGTTTGCTGATTCACTCTTTGGGTTCATTGTTTTTTGAAAAATACGTCGGTCAATACGGACCTTTTCTACTTCTGAAAGAACTGACGGTCAATATGGTTAGCCCTATCAGTCAAATATAGCTCATCTTATCCAAGGGAAACTAATAAACGTTTTTTATTATCTCATGGTGGCGACCTTTTTAAGAGCTGACACTTCACTTAATTCTAAAAGAAGCCTTCTTCTTCATTGAAAGTCACGGGAAATATTCAAGACGCACTGAAACATATTTATCAACGAAAAAATTGATGATGATAGAATTTGCATTGTAATGTCTAAATATTTTGAAGAACAGAGTAAACGTTTCTTAATAATATAAGAGGTTGCTAAGGGACACTTGTCTCTTTTTGTTTCGTCTATCAAATCTGTCATTATTTCAGGAAATTTATGAAATGACCATGAGAGATTCACCTCTCTCAAAAACGTTTTAAAGCTATTCATTTTGAACCTCCGGTATCTGATTCAATTAAGTTTAAGGAAGAGGTCGTTGAAAGACTTAAAATCGTCTTAAGAGCTTCTAAAAACGTGATGCCACGAGTTTCCTTAAACTCTAGTTACCATCTACAGCTGACGTCAGCAGTCAAAGGCTTGACTACCTGAACAACGGTCATCTTGGGTAATTCTTTTCGCTTCAAATAGTGTAAAATCGAAGTAATCATTTTCTTGACCTGGCTAAAATTTGAAAAATAATTGTGAACCAGATATAAATGGGAACTAGGAGCTAGCTATCGGTCGAATTACTGTAAACGTGAAATTGGCCGGTTTCCAGAGATTATTAAATGGTGAGTTAGCCAGGGCGTCAGACAGGAGATTTCTTTTCAAAACATTTAAGGGGGAAGGAATTAGTTTAAAGTTGTTTCGACAACACATTTTCAAGCCATTCTTTCGCTCCTCCTTACGTCGAAAGGATTTTACTCCAGTGTGGACAAAATCATAATAAATAAAGAGCACCACTTTAGCAGAACTTTTGCCTTGTTCTTGTAATTTCTAAATTTTCTCTTTGTGAAGTTTTTACAATTAGGAGTGTTGCTTTTCAATTTCTCTTGACGGATTTCTTGGAAAATTAGGAAAAGATAGAAACACTAGTTTCATCCAGGGCACAGGGCTAAACTTTTTTAAAAAGAGGAATGAATCCGAAGCATACATTTCGTTTTCGGTTACTGTTCATACAACGCGTACATGTACACTGCGATGCTGTTTAGGCTCTGAGATTAGAGAACAGAATTTTTGACGATACAAAAGTTTACTAGGATTTTCGTGTTCGTGCCCTGGATGAAAAGAAAACTTTGAGAGATGGGAGACGCTATTATATGGATTTGCTAAAGTAGCGCTCAACGCATGGGCAGATGGAAAAGCTGATTCAAGCTGATTCGTCACTCCGGGTGAGCAGTGGCGCGAAAATATTGATATACTCATAACCACAAGCTTTGACCAAAATAAGGTGGAAGACGTTTGCGATATCTAGTAAAATGACGTCAATAGTGCAGGCTATAGCCATGGCGGGAAATGTTACACATTTTGCGAAAACGAAATGGCCGAACTTCTGCCTAAAATCATAACAAAAAAAAAGAACAGCTAGGACTCGACGGATGACAAGTGCTGTTTGCTAGACTAAACATCCATTTATATCGTGAATTTGCCAAACAGATGAATGAAGACGCGAACTTAACATTGATCGAGGTAAGCATGTTTGAAGTGCAATTTGGCCTCGTGCTTTCGTATGATGTGAAGAATTATACCGATCTCTGGCAGGGGATGTCACCGCCTCGGCCGATAACACCCTCCATAATCAGCAATGCAGAGATGGTAGAATTTATCGCCTTGCCGTTCCCGTTCCCAAGTTAACTTAAAATTTGGTCATTTCACGTCATAGTTGTGCAGTGACTGCAAAGAAATGTACAAAAAAGCGTGATGCACGGGCAGAGTTGTTTGGCTCATTAAACCTATTGCGTTTTTTGACGCTCCCGTTGCCGTCGTCGACGTAGTTTTTTAAGGACCCCAATTTACAGAAAGAGGCGGTGTACGCGCAGTTCTTCTTCATAAGCCACCCTCGGCTGACACGACGGAGCCTTAAAGGTCTGAGGCAGGAGCACGATGGGCT